AGTTTAATTTTTCCATATTTATTATCCTTTTATTTTTCTTTGTTACTTCAGTTTTGATTATTGTCTTTTATTATTTTCTAATTCTTATACACTCCGTTTCTTTTCTTGAAAAAACAATATTTTATAAAGTATAATAAAAAATTTACCACTTGTACATTTTTCTGCTATAAAACATTTTGGATCCCTTTTTTTAATGTTAAAAATTTTGGTTTTAACTATTTTTTATTTATTATTTGTTTGGGGGAGCAACCTTATTGGATTGAATAAGGTGAGCGTTGCTTTCTTCAAGAATATTTTGATTGTCAATATTTTCGAATCAATACATCGTACCCTGCAATGAATTTATACAAAATTATTGTTTTTTGAAAAGTATGAAAAAGTGAATAAATTTGAAGGACCAACGCGCTAGGCTGATTACAATAAACTTCCACCATTTTGAAGAAAATAAAATTTTAAAAGTGCAATTTCTGTGAGCTTAAGTTCAAAATTACCGTCCATGGTGCCTCATACTTAGCAGTTTGAAATTAACAGTTCAGTTTTAAAAGTTTTAAATGTTCCAAGTATCCTTTTTCTAACCGTTTATTTTTTACATCTCTTATTGGTAAAGAACGAGGAAAAAATTATACATTTTCTGTAAAAAATAGAATTATATTGAAATGCTGTAAATATATTTTCCAAGGTCATCAACTCGAATTTTTTCTGTACATATGTACGTATGAATGTTGCTGTGATCTGGTTATATTTATTGTTATTATTTTTGATTTTTATGAAAAATGCTTGAAGGTAATTTACTTACACACAAATATACCGAATTCGTATATTGTTTTATTTATGTATTATATTACATCATGGATAATTTAATATTTTCTTCCCATATAATGACACTAAAACAAAAAAAAATGGCAGTATGTAAAAAACCGAAATAAAAATGATTTCGGCTTAAGGCGAATCTCATGATATTTCTTAGAAAAATTATTCCATACTTTCGCCCCAGAAATTTAACTAGAATTTCCATATATGTAGTTATAATTTTTTTTGTATTTTACGTTTTCTTTTTTTCGATATTTATGTTATATTTTGTCCTTAAATATTATTCTTTAATCATGTTATTATTTATAGTATTTTATAATAGATGTTAGATAAGAATATTTTATACAAATACAAGATACAATTGTAACATAAAGTGTTTATGTGGGCATGTTTGTAAACAAAAACGTAAAAATCAATTTGAAGTCATGAATGAGAGTCTAAATATTTTCGTAACATGTTTTATGAGAAATTTTTTCTAAGAAAATCAAAGATAAATTAAATTAAGATGAAAAAATAATTGCTAACAGAAGTGTTAAATTGAAATGCATGAGAAGGGTTTTTAAGGAAGGATGGATGTTTGAACATCGAAATACTTATTGAGATTATTGTTACTTCAAAGTATAGTTTACGTTCACTGAAATCATATATAATTTCTTTGTTTTTTAGTTGTCTGTAGTTGTTCTCGATACGTGCTGATTTATATTTATTGTAACGTCTCATGTTAAAGAACAATTGAAATATTACGTTCTCGTATTGCTAATTTTTGTAGAGAGGATTGACAATCCCGAATATAGAAAAAATTAGTTCTCTGAAGAATTTCCACCTTAGTCAAAAATATAGAATTTTTGCAAATTTAATTTGTTATTATGTGGATATCACAATCGATTCAAAATCACAAAATTCCAACAAGTTGAATTCATACATTGCGAGTTCTGTACAATAAAGGCGTTTGCGCATCGAAACTGAACCCATTTTAGATTTGGGATTAAAATTTTTTTTAATTTAATCACACATCCATTCTACATTTTATGTAGATTATACGAGTATAAAAATACATACATACATATGTACCTAGAAAGAATAAATTAAAAAGTTTTAAATTAAAAGACGGGGGAAATAATTTAGAAGGAACGAGGATAATTTAGAAACTATATAATAATAAGAAAAAGTTGTTGTAAACAAAAATAATATTGAAATAGTCGACTTGATAGTGGAGGAAAATATTTTTCTTATTCAATTTATAACAAATAAACTTAATTTTCATCAAATAATTTTCATAAATATAGATACATACATACATATATACAAACATATATGGTATCTGTACTGTACGTACATTCCTGAAAGTATCAAGTTAAAAAAGTTAGGTATTTGCTTTTCTGCCTTAAGGCAAAATAAACCCTTTTTTTTATCTAATCTCTTATAATAAACATGCACACATTCCATATCTTTAATTTTTGTATGTAATCCTTTAACGAACGAATCCTTAAACGTACATATACCGGCAATGAGAAAAAATTAAAGCAATCATATAAGCATACTGGGAAAGAAATTAGAAGGATTTTTCCAAAATAATTTAAAAATATGTGAGAGCTTTAAATAAAAGCTGTGTGTATATACAAATTTAATATAAGAGTAAATATAGAACGGATGAAAGGATAAGTGTATAACAGTATGTATAATTTACAAAAGAAAGTAACAAAAAAAAGTTGTAGCGATCAGATTAACTTTATTAACTTTTGAGGGCATTGTTAACAATTTTGTTAACATTGAAATTCGAAAATACCAAAAAACAATTTTAGAATAAATTATTGATAGCCAGCCAGTTTTATTCATTTCGTTTCAAGCAATTATTTTTGAGAAACTCATTTGAATTTTTTGTAACAATAATTATGTAGATTATTCATCAGTATTAGAACTTGAATCAAATAAATTACATAAATGCTATAGGATACTACATTGAATATACTGAAATTTTGTAATTGAACCTTTCGGTTTTAAGAATAAAATGTTAATAATGTGAAAAAGTCTATCACATTTCTAATACGCTAACTAGACTAACGTTTTAACTTTATCTGTTGTTATACATTAGGGGTAGTATTGCTTCTCTATTATCGTGAATAAAGAAATTTGCATTAAGTGAAATGTGCTTCATTAGAAACCATAAAAATTGATTTTATTTACTTTAATCTCACCGCACGTTTTCTTATTCCTTGCAGGAAATTTTTTTGGAAAGAGAAGTTTTTTCATGTTTAAATAATCGACTTTATGGTTGATACGATAAAAATTTATTTATTTAGAAAAATTCCTTAGAATAAACCATATTCAATAAACTGAAATAGGTAAGGATTTTTAACTTTATTCACTTAAGTTGTAAATATAGAAAAGTTTAATGCTATATGTTGATGGTTATGGTGTAATGATGGTAGGTAATGGTATAATGGTAAGATTTATAGTATAACATAATTAGTTTATAAACTTAAAATTAAAGTTTATTAACTAATGTACCGGTACATATATACATTTTATATATATATGTCGGTATTATAAGTATGAGTACGTTTTGTTTAAATAATTATAAAAATTAAAAGTGACTTGCAAAATAGTAGAAGTTTAAAGTTTTGAAACCATGAAGGTTTAAGAAATTTTTCATTGATTTACTATATTTAAATGGGGCCACAATAGAAAATATTTTCATTCAGTCACTATATATACTGCAGCACTAAGACAAGCCCCACACCGGGTGGCGTATTTGAACATATTATGTTTTGATTGAGGTTAAATTTTTGATTCGTATAAGTACTCATTCTGATTTATTTCGAAATTTTGATGAAAAACAGGGCTGTTCTTATAAAGTATATGAAAGTATAAGTGTGAAAATCTTCCAAAGAGGATACAAGAGTACAACTTAATCCTTGCATTAAAATATCGAAGCATTAGATTTATCAACATAGATTTATTTTCAATATAAAAGTATAAAGACATCTGCTGGAATAAATAAGTGTACAATACAATTACAGCTTACAACAATTGAAACCCTATTAATCTACATTCGTCTGTAATTTTAAAAGAAATTTTTCAACATTTACACATTAATGTAGACAATGAAAAAATTAAAAGTTCAATGACGCTTGTGTAACTAACAAAACTTTTCTAAGAAATTGCTGTGTTTAAATTGAAAAATTTTCAAAGGGACCATAAATTTGTATTTGTGTTCGTTCTCTTATCTTAAGTAAAATATTTTTACGTAGGTTTACAATTAAAAATTCATTTCTGATTTTAAAATCAAAAATTAATTTTTGATTTTTCTTATACTTTAAATTATGACGGATTCATATTTTACTTTAAAAATTTTAATTTTTATAAAAGGATTAAGTGTCCTTGTTTATTCATGTATAAAATGAAAATTTTCTTTTGCTTTTGTTTTTTTTTTTGTTAAATACTTTTGTTAATTGATTTTTCATTTTAAATACAAATTCGGAATTAATATTTTATAATTTTTGAAAAAAATCTTCAGTTTGATAAAATCTAGAACTCTTTGGAAAATGAGTCATTCTTTATTGACTTTAAAAGTTTAATTAAAAAACATAAAAAATACTGAATTTTTTTTTATTTTAATAAATTAATTTAATTCCTTAGTTTTGTTTATCGGTCCTTAAAAAAATTTTAAAAGTATTTTTTTAAATAATTGCGGTAGATTCTTTTAAAGATTAGAATACTTTCAGACAATAAAAATCAAAGAATCTTTATGTGGGCAAAATTACATTCAATTATATGAGAACTCTAACCTAAGTATATTTAGGTTTAGTAACACTTCAACTTTAATGGTGTCCTCTTTCATTTAAAGCAAGGATGTCTTTACAAATACCAAGTAAGTTTTTTAAAGGGGAAATATTCTGCCTTACATCGTATTCCAGAAAATATTTTTGGTCTTCATTTAAGATTCATTTAAGTGTATGAGATGTCAAATTTATATAGTTTGTGATTGTTTAGTCGTCTTAATTGAATAATAATTAAAAAATTTTAAAGTTTCCAAGTTCGGACTGATAATTTCATTCGGAACTTATAAAATTTTATATTAATTAATTTGTGGTGTTAAACAATTTTAAAATTCTAAAAAAACTTTCTAAGTTTATAATTTTTCATTTTTCTTTTTAGAATCTTGTAATTGATAAACGGAAATTGATGATATGGTGTTGTATGTTGTTTATCCAGAAGACTATATAAGAGGCAAACACACAATGACATTCAATCCTGGTTTGCAAGTATTTTTAAAAAATCAGTAAGTATATTATAACATTTTTATGTATACGTATGTACAAATGAGATTAGTCGGTAAAATTGGGAGTTTCCATCAAATATTTTAGATTAGACCAAAAAGAAAAAATAATTTAGTAAAAATATATTCAACTTCTTATTTAAAAAACATGAACAATAGTCTTGATTAACTACTCTTGATTAATTAGTATTAAGCCGGCTACTCTCCGTCTTAATACTAATTATATAATATATGAGCTAAATTGTGAATCACTTAACAATTACAGATAGTGCAAAATTCTACAATTTTCAAATTTACGATATTTTTTCCTGACGTTTTGAAATAACCTTCATAGAAGTCCTTAAATTTCATTCACGTGTTCAAAGACAATGAAATTTAAAAATCGCATGCAAAATATTTATGATAATGCAAAGCCTTAAACTTACTAAATATTTATCATAAATCTTATCTTTTGAATCTATTGTCATGGCTATTAATCTTACAAAATTATTTGTCTTCATAATATTTTCTTCAATTCTAATCAGCTTAACATTTTGTCCAACAGATGTCACGCAATATATTATGCTTTATTAAAACATTTTAAGTAGACCACATAAATATGTACGCAACGTGTTCATATCATTGATATACATTTATAAATACATACGTAATGTATGTATATATGATATACCAAAAAAATAACTTTATTTCATTTTGTTCCAATTTATTATCGTATTATGAAGACAAAAGCCAACATAGTGAAAAAAGTACATTGTCATTACCTTGCCCTATATCCTTTCCAAGCAAAGAAAAGGAAATTGTGAAAATTTATATACATTGCATACATATATACAAAATATATTTTACATTATCCTTGGCAATGAAAGACCGTTTCAAGGCAAAAATTAATTTTGTTTTTTCTTTTATCGTTGATTTTTGTTTTCTGCTTTCACAAAAGAAGGCAAAACAACTGCAATTGTACACGTTTATTTGAACAAAAATTTATGTATTTCTCATTTAATGGGAAATGTCCTGTTTTTCCTTTCTTTTATAAAATGGAAAATTAAAAAAAATTAACTTAAACTACGTGGCGTAATATTTTCCTATGAAGTTGTTGTTTTTCAGAATTGAACGTTGTTTTCTCACACTAAGATTTCCCAGTGATAATATTTATTGTATATGGCAACATATAAATTTGAAGATCAGAAAATTTATTAAATCGGAATAAAAATAGGGGCCTCAGAATTTAAAATTAACGAAATGTAATTTTGTGACTTAGGAAGTTATGTGTCAATTATTCTAAAATCTACATTGGTGTTTTCTGGTTTATAAATATGCAGAATAATGCTATTTTTGGTGTAACGTAGTTGGAAGTAGTTGCTGAATGGAAAAGCCCCGTTTGTTTAGAAATTTTGCAATAAAGGAGTAAAACCTACATGTTTGAAGTGTTACTCTAAAAAGAAATATGGGTGTGTACTTAAACCGGACAACAGGGGTTGTTGATTGCAAATTTCGTCGACTTACTGTTAAAAGACTGTATTTGAAATCACAGTCAATATATATCTATTCATACAAAATTCAATTTATATAGAAGTATAAGATAATTTTTTAACAACTTCGAATGCTACTGGTAGTTAACAATAAGACAAACGAAGCACAATAAAATCTTACCGCAAAATCGAAACATAAAAATAAACAACCTTAGTTTTGTTAGAAGTTTTTATTATATTGTAATCCTAAATTCAATACGTATGTAGACAAAAATATTGTGTGTGTATATCTTAGACATATATGTGTGTATGTGGGATCATACAATTATTTTAATAATGTTAAAGCCGCAATATAAGAAAGGATGTAAAATTTACTATTTTATTTCGTTCGTTCTCTTTTATTTTTCATTGTACAAATTGCCAGTTTAAAAGAATAACAGAAATCGTATTGAAGCAGAGAACAAGGAAACAAAATTAAGGTTCTAATATAACTAATATTAGTATGTCCTTTCTTTAATTTCTACTATCATTTATAATGATGGTATATTCATATAGAACCATTAAGAATCATTATAAAAATGGTGATGAGATTATATACTATGTATATATTGAGGATAATGATGATGATGATGATAATGATGGTGATGATGGCTAGTCTCTTTAATGAAATTTAAAATGTAATTGTGTCAAATTAAATATAAATTTAGATAGGGTCTAAGAAAAAAAAATTTTGTAAACATATCATTTATATGCGGTGGTTGAATGTAATTTTTTTTAGAATAATGTGAAGTAGTTTGGTTGTATTACAGATGTGTGTTTGTGTGTTTATAATAAAGAAAGTAAATTAATTTTATTAGTGGAATTTTTGGCTAAGAAAGGAGGAAAATTTAATTAATATGTATAAGAATGCATGTATTATTAAATTTATTTAAAATTTATTTGAGGTGAACATAATTAAAATAAAAGGATACCAGGGAAATATATTGAGAAATGAGAACTCGTAATTTTTTAATTAAAATTTTATATTTATTATACAATTAGAGTTGAAAAATAATGTTGTTATGAGAATATTAAACAGGTGCTAAATTAAGTAAGGAATTTCCAAAATTGTTGTAGATTTTTGGAAATTAGAAATTTACTCGGCATGAGAATAAACTTTTAGCTATGAAAATTAAAGAAAATTTACAAAAACAATACAATTTTAAAGTTGTTGTTATTTTCTTTCTAAACATAATTTTGTGTAAATATTATCAAAGACTACATCTTCAATATGGTGCATTTTGAACCGATTTCTCGTATAATTATTCGAGAATAATATAATTATTCGAGTATCATATTCTCCTGGGTAAATGGTAGAACAAACATCCATTTAACGCATATGATGAGAGCGCGTGAAATGTTAAAAAACTTTGCAAAAAATCATCGGTTTGTAAATCTCCTTAAAGCGAAAAAAACATTTAATTTCTCTAACAACATGAAAATTAAGGAAAGAAGTAAAACTTTTTCCTTGCGATTAAAGAGGTTTCGGTCAGTTCATTTTCTTGCGTACACATTACATAATATGTATAGGAATGAAATAAATCTAAAAATTTTACTTTTAAATATTTTATTATTTAAGGAATATTACCAGACAAAATATTCATAATTAAAAATATCTAAGATAATAATCCTGTATATAAAACAAATTACTTAAATTTGTAAACACAAAAGATTTTCATTGAACTTTATTTGTTATGCACTTACATAAAATATAATTATACATTATCTTTTGAAAATATAATAAATCTCAAATATTGTATAATAATTATATATTTAGAAATAGAACAAATATTAACAGAATATTACAGAAAAAGCGAAAAACAACAAGGAAACAAAGTATAATGTTTGTCAATGAAAGGATAAATCAACATAATGTACTCATTTAAAAAAATTAATTTAGGAAAAAGAAATATTAGAATCAAAGGGATAAATAAACATTTATACACATTAGTCGGAACAGGATCAAATCAGAGACAGTTTATGACATACATACAACTGTAGTATTTATTTCCTTGGGTTCCTTGTATTTTTTATGGTCTGTAAAGAGTTTGAAACTTATTGTACCTCTCAGATAAAACCATTACCATGTCCATATTACATTATTTTTCTTAAAATTTTTTGAAGGAATTGTTTATGTGGAAGTTTTATGTTACATTTACTAAAATACCTTCGAGATTAAAGGAAATTAGTTAAAAGATCTTCGAGATTTTTCGATGTATTTATACTAAAGCATTCACTCCCAAGACATACAAATTCTTTTTTTAAAATTAACTGTTGAGAACTTTGGAAAAATAAACGAGAATAATTTTCACTCAAGATCCCCAAAATCAGAACATAAAATTTTCTTTAAAATCTTAGCACTATACAAAAGATTTTTACTTCAGATTGAAACGCTTACCGTTGGAACGGGAAAAATACGAAATTTTGTAATTTATCTTCTAATTCTCATTTTAATAAAGAATTTCATTAAGTACTTTACTTATTTCTGTTCATATAATAAGGATTGTGGTTTATTATTTTTTTCCTTGATTTTATGAAATAAAAATTAAGTTATTAAGCCTGTAAGTAAAAAAACCAATCTGAAGTTATTCAATTAATTTATGAATTACAGGGTTCTATATTTAATAGAGTAGAATGGAAAAAGGTTTAAAGTGGTACAAAGAATTAGAAATTTTGGTATTATACTTTAAACAGTTTGTTATCCTTAAAAACAAAATAGGCATTTTCTGAATAAATTTTTAGGTTTTATCTAAATTGTAAATATTTTTAAATTTTTGTTTTGCACATCCTTTAATAGACAAGATTGTTATTTACTTATTGAATAAATCCAGATATAAGAAACCTTTAGTTCATAAAAGTTTTTTTTCTTGTTCAATTGAATTTTTTTTAAAAGTTTTGTTACAAGGTCGACCGTCCCAAAATATACACCCAGTATAGCATAATACTATAATAAGAAAAATTTTCATAAATGTTTGTATTTTGTATTTTGAAGGATAATATTGTAATACTGTACACTAAATATTATACCAAAAAAAAAAAAAAACAAAATATCCTTGAATTTAATAAAAAATAAAATGGAATGTATACAATAGGATTAGGATAATATTGAGCACATGTAGAAGAATTTATGCCAAATATTAGTCTAAGCAAGTACATGCATGACATACACACAATATAAATAATTTTTTTTTATAATAATCAGTAATACTGAAATTATTTTGTAATAAAACCAAAAGAAAATAAAGTTGGGTCAAACCAATGGTTTGTATTGTAGCACTTTTCCCTTCAACAAGTGAAAATACTGCTTTTAAAAACAGTCTATATACATCCACCACACTATTAAAATTATTTTCATTTATAAACGAAACTATTTCTAGGATTGCATATATTTAGGATGAACCATTTATGCAGTCTTTGAAATAAAGCAAAAATTAATATAAACAGGGGTTAACATAACGCTCGATTTTAAGGGTTAATTGTGTGAGTTAAGAAAAATAATTATATTTTTTAATGTCATGGAATTTACCGTTAACTTTTTGCGTTTATAGAAATTTGAAAAAGCTTGCGGTTTCAGAAATATAAGGTGTCAAAAATGCAAATTTTACAAATTTCAAGAGGCCATAACTTGAGAAGGGGTGGAGATGAAAAAAAATTTTCTTCAAACGAAATGAACTACTTGTTAATGTCTAAAAGTCCCTAAAATTTCAAGCTTGTACAGGCTGGGGTCTAGAAGAAAAACGACATCGAAAATTTGGAAAAAACGGACTTTAGATAACGGTAAATTTGAACGGCCATTTTGTTTTTCTAAAGTTTAACTATAGTATACCGCGGTAGGGGAAGCAAACCACTGCCTTTCTGCGTTTGCAAAATTTCAAAAATGCTTATGGTTTCATTGCAACAAATAGTTAAAATAGGCCATTTTTAGTGCTTTGGGGGGGTATAACTTGTAGAGGGGGGGAGATAGGTAAAAATTTTGTTCTACGAAAATAAGTTTCTAGTAAAGATCTATGTACGTATTAAATTTCAGCTTTCTATCTTTAAGAATGTAGAAGTTTTGTAAACAGACACACGGACAGACGGACGGACGGTTGGACGGACGGACGGACGGACGGACGGACGGACAGAGTGAAACTAATAAGCACTTTTTTTCAAAAATTTTTTGGAAAAGTGCTAAAAAACAACAGCAATCGTCTTGTGGTTCAAAATGTTTGGTTTTTTTCTGGAAAATAAAGAATGATGAAAATTTTTATAAAATTAAATTTGACATGTGTAATTAGAAATTCGTAAAAATTTTTTTTTGTAATTTTACAAAAATTCCGCAATACGGCGGTTACATGAATGTATAAAGCCAATTAAAAAAAACCGCAATATACTGAGTTGCAATATCATACTTCGATGGATGAACCAGGTCTATTTTTATATTGAATGTTTTGCTATGGCGATGTATTTGAGTTTATATTTAATTCAAGTATGTATATAAATAGTTTGTCTATGGAATATGGCAAAAATATTAATTTTGATTTGTAAAATTTCTTAAATTAACTGTTATTAGTTTAAAAGAGTTTTTAATTAAATACTTGAGAATTTGATTCAGAAAGTAGTTTAGTATGATTGTATGACATACACGATTACTCGACACAATTTTTCGTATGGATGTTTTGAATAGCCACTGACCGCTATGTGTCGAAATTCATAAACAAATTAATGAAATTTGAAAATTTATTATTGAAAATTTTCTTATTTTTTTATATTCTGTGAACATATGAATTTTTATTTTACATAATTAATTTTACATTTTTGGAAAATTCCCTTAAAAATTTTCTCTGGAAAAAAACATTTTCTAATGAACAAAAATTTCCACATTATTACACATTACGCTTTTTAAAATAATTATGGGATTATTTACAGTTAAAAAATTCCATTTAACTCATAAATTAAAAATAAACATAAATTCATTGTTAATCATGCCGAAATATTTAAAACTCTGAAAACTGATGCAAATGGAATTTTATTTTTTATTTTTACTGAATATGTTGCGTAATGGGTTTCAGTGTTAACATACCAGGAAGACTGTGAATACATGTGAACTTATCTGTCTCAATTTTCTACGAAAATAGTTGTTATTGTAAAAATTCTCTAAAATGGTGTTAATAATGAATATTTGTAATGTATGTTTTTCATATCGAATATAATAAATGCATAATTGATGAAATAAGCGCAATTTTGTTTCCGGTACTAAGGATGATAAAAAGAGTAATTTTAAGGTCTTTTATATTTTGGTAATATTATATACATTAAGTATGGACCATGTTTTTTAAATTTCGTCCCGTGGCAGGCAAGAAATATTTTGTTCAAATAAATTGTATTGTGTGCGATAGTTTCAGTGGTCAAAAATCGTTTAAATTTACGAATATGATTTAAAGAAAAACTAAAAGATTATTTAGTTTTTCGTTCTTAATCTATTTTCTAATTTTTGGGAAAAATATTTATTATAGGGAAATGCCACAACAATACTTTATGCATTTGTTTTCGTATTATAGACATTCTTTAAACAAATACATATAATATTAATGAATTTTAGTCCGGATCATGCACCAAAGAGAATATCTACACCAAATACGAACCCGGAGCCGAAACGAAAATCCATCAAAGAGGCTATGATTGAATACTGGATTATTTATTGTAGTAAAACACATGTTCATGGTGTAAAATATTTAGTAGATCCAAAATTGCATATGTTCGAAAAACTTATAATGGCTGTTATATTGATAGCTTATGTATTCGGAACTGTATATGTATGTGTACTATTTTCATATCAATTTCAAGAAAGTGCATTAAAAATTGAAGTTGAAAGTACTACTTATCCAGTTTATTATATTGTGTTCCCAGCATTAACAATTTGCAATTATAATCGATTGAATTGGGCAAAAATAAATCAGGCACAAAGGAGATTTTTACCATCGAATGCAACACAACAAACTATTGATTTATTTCAACAGTTTATTGCACAATTCGAAACATTTTCATTTGGTAAATTTTCAACTTTTGGAAAATTTCAAAATGTATCATTAAAACAATTGGATGGAATTAATCTAACGGAAGTTATGGAATTTTTGTCATATCGTTGTGAAGAATTATTTCAGTCATGCTGGTGGAAAGACCAATACGTATCTTGCTGTGATATTTTTGCTTTACAGAAAAGTGAATCTGGTTTTTGCCTGAGTTTTAATTCTATGACAAATGCAAATTCAACTACAAAAAAGGTGAGTTTTAAATTTTTTTTTATAATTTTCGGTATTCAATTTAGGTAATCAAGATACTGTCATGAAGTAATTGTTGTAATATGTAGATTCACTTTGCTCTGAAAAAGTAAAATAAATTTCATCTGACTTCCAAAAAAATTGAATATTTTAAAATTGAAAAGCATTAAATTTTGCCTTTAAGTTTCGTTTTTGATTTTTAACATAATTTGTGCCTTCTGCAATGGTTTTTTTTGCACAACATCCTGTTATAAATATGTATGAACTTTTAAAACAAATTTTTTTTAATATTTTTTATTTTTATACTTTTTTCGTGCAGAGAACCGATATATTTTATCCTTGGCATGTTGCCAAAGCTGGATTTAGCAGTGCTTTAAAAGTTTTCCTTGTTTTAGATAAAAGTAGAAGAAGTCCTTTTAATAAGGATCCGCAAAATGGTCTTTCGGTAAGTGCTTTTTGTTTCTTTTGTTGTTTAAAATAAATATGTTTATAGCATGTACAACTAGTATTTTGTTAGATTGCATTAAATATCAATTTTTCATTTCCGAACATTTGAAAAATGAAATTAAAAGGAGGGAGGATACTTTTTTAAATTTATTTTTAAAATAAGATTGTGACATACTATGTAAAGGGAAGCCAAAAATTATTTTTTAATTGTTTACTAAAATAAATTGAATTTTTTTAAAGTATTTAAATTATACATGTACGTGCATATGCGTATATCAGTATATGTGTTTGTAGAAGTAAAGTTGGAAATGTAAAAATTTCTTAATACAAATACATTTCTTCTCAACTTTAAGTGGTGGCTTTAAGTAATATTCATCTCATGGCGCGATAGATGTTCCGAAGTGTCAATTCCTTAGAAACCAAAAAAACTAATTAATGCCAACCGAACTACGAAGAGATAAAAGAATATTCTTCTTTTGATGTTCCCACATCACATCGGCCTAATTTGATGTAAATACATTCGAATCGCCATGTCTATTATTCGGAAAAAATTTTGATGGTTAGACAAAGTTTTTTCCGTACGTATACAGATTCAGTGTTAAGATTCGGTAAAACAGTCAGAAGCCCTCAAAAATTTCTAAATGGGTACCATTTTCCTCTGATTCTACCATATTTTGAATATTTCTTAACTTTAATGAATATCAGTCGCATCGCAATTAAACAGTTATAGCACATTTTTCTTACAATTCATAGTCATAACTTCCATTTTATTTTATATGTAAATGTTAAAAATTATCGTACTGGTTATCATTGTTTTCTCTTCTTTAATAATTTTTTAGGTAATAATCCACAATAGTCATGATTGGCCATTAAATGAACAATTTATTCCTGAGAATACTAATGTTTCAATTTCACTTGATGGAAAATTAAGTTACGCAAATGTAGATACGTACAGCATGCATCCTGATAGCAGAGAATGTCTTTTTGATGTAAATATCTTTGTAAACTTATAAATTAATGTAAATTTATAAATAGGTGAACTCGCGAGTAATAATTTTTAATTAATTTAATTTATCTAGCATGAATATAAAAATCAGCGTACGTATAGCACTTTAGTAGGTTTAAAATACTCAAAATCGAATTGCATTGCCTATTGCCATCAACAGCATGCTTATGGAATGTGTAATTGTTCACTGGAATTATTTTATCCTGTTGGTAAGTGTTTAAAAATTTATAAAACAGGAAGGAGGTCTTTCCTGTGTATACCCAACTTATAAAATTCAGATTTCAGTCAAAATTCAGGTCTAGTTTCCAAAATTTGGTACTGACATCTTTTGGCAAAAGTTACTTGGCAATCGAATTACGTTATTTTACTTACATTTTTCTCATACCGAATTAAATTCAAAATTTGCGCATGATTTACAAATGTATGAGCATTTTCTCTATAAATTTAGCAGAATTTATTGAATGAAAAAAAAAAGTCATTTAGTATTTTCCGTATCAAATTGAATCTATGACGTCAATATACAACTGTGAGGCAAATTATAATTATTGTTTTTAATAAAGTCTAAATTTCTACTTTTTTAACAAATTCAAAAAATTTTATTATATCTTTTATTAGTTTATGTAAAAATATGATATTAACATACATACATATGTATGTACATATATAATTTATTTTTAATTTCTTTTGATTCGGTGACATGCATTAGTCATGTTTTTTATTTCTTTTGCTAAATTATGTCAAGATTTCTTCAAATATTTTTATTTCTAGGAAAGACATAAAAAAAATTCTTTGATTTCTTATCAGAATCTTCAAATTTAAACTTTTGTCTTCTTGGAAAATTTTCAGATGGAAAACATGAAACATGTAAGGCATCAGATTTTCAATGTCTTTACAAATATCGCAGTAAGTAAATAATAAAATTTTATGCATTAATATGTAATGTGAGCGTACATAATTTCATACAAATGTTGAAATATTTCAAAAATTTATGATTTTAAATATTTATGTAGATATTGTGAGTTTATGTAAAATTAATGTATGTACATACATTTATGTTTATTTTTGTAAAATTGTGTAAAGATAAATTTCATATGTATTTTTGAATTCAAAATTTTCTTTGTAAATTTGGTGAAATGAGAGACATTTTGAAATAGAATCCATGTAAAAATTCTTTTGTTCCATCATGAAATTTGTATTTTTTTTTTATCTTCCTCTAGTCGTCTAAATATCTTACTGTCTCCTTCCGGTTTAATACTTCGTCTATAAGTATTTTGCTAACACATTCCATTTATTCTAGTTTTCTAATTTCTAAAAGCATTTCTACGATATTCTGACTGCTGCAGTTCCCAATCCTGCTTTTAAAAACTTTGCTTTTTACTTTTTCTGTGTTGTTGAACCCGAATAAAATATGAAAGAGTATGTCTTCTGCTATGTGATTGTTCCGACACCACATAATAAAGATAAATCGCGTAAAAAACATACCAAAGCAACGGTTGACGATTCCTGTTGTTTATCCAGAACATAGTTGCACATAAATTACCATAAAAACGTTAAAAACGTTTTATTCGACCGTAGTTGGCCACAGTGACAATCAGATTTCAAAGACGAATTTTTGAAATATCAAAAAAGTAGTAATATTAGGTCGTTGTATGGCAGCTATTGGAACCTGCACAGCTATTTCATTTAATCTTTCAGACCATAATCTTCAAACAAATTGTAATTGGATACATGTTTACAAAATTTCATATCAACATTGTTATTAGATTTTGCAATATTTAAAATTCTTTTGAGTAGTATGACAGCTGCCGGAATCCATAAATCGAAATGGTACAATCACCAAATTAGACATGCTTAAATTAATACTGAATTTAACGTTGAGCATAAAATGAACTAGTAGCATCTACATATAATTACATTGCAATAAGTTTTTGTTTTAAAATAAATTGTCACGTAATTTGTGAGTAATATGCGTGTGCTAAAAACAAAATTGATTAAATAAAAATTGTTTTTTTCATATGTACTTATTTTCAGATATTCTAACGCAAGATAGAGAACCTGATGAAGAACTTTATATTAATTATACTGGGGATGGAATGAAATGTAAATGTTTGTCAGAGTGCTACTCTGTTGACTTTGATCCGAAAATTTTGCCAATTTCATTACCTGTGTAATAATAATGTTCACCTGCATCAATAATGCAGGAATTTTTTTAATGTTTTCGTATTTTTTAGGAATTCAAACCCAAGAGGTAACCTCAGTTATGTCAGCATTGATTTATTTTACGAAAAGGCAACAATTATGAAATATAGGATTGATGTGGCATTCGGAATAATGGATCTTCTAGGTAAGTAGTTACTTTAACGAATTTCTGTCTTGTTTAGTCTTCGTTCTTTATTTTGTTGCGTTTGTTTCGTTTAAAACAACAGTTGTTGTTTCGTTTGTGACGTTTTACGTTTTTGTTGTCGTTCCATGGACACATTTTTTAAAGTTGCCAAATTTAATTTTTTTATTTTAAATCACGGCAATCAATCGTTTAGTGTACTTTTCATTCAAAAGCTGTTCTGGAATTGAAGTCTTTGAAGGTTTATTAAAAATGTCCGATATCGTAATAAGCTTCGCGTTTCGTTATTGAAAAAAGAGGGCATTTTCTGAGAAGGAAACAAAAAACTTTTAACTCATCCTGCCTCTTTATAAATTTTGATTTTATTTTTATTAATTGATTCTTACATTTTAGTTGCTTATGGAGGAATTGCTGGTCTTTTTCTTGGCTTTTCATTATTCAGTTGTATCGAACTAATGTATTATTTGACAGTCGGATTCGTTCTTCATTTTTATGAAAATGGATTCTGTGTTGGTTGTTTTGAAGACGAAAATAAATCAACTTTATTAAAAAGCGAAAATGGAAATATAGTTGAGGAAAGATCAAATATTAAGCGCGTGGAAGTAAGACCTAAAACACCAGAACCAATTACAAGAGAATAACAACATTTACTTTAGACTAGAGGTATAACATTTCCATAATATAAAAAAAATCTTTTCGTTTCGTTTCCATTTCACTCATCTACAATGACCATCTGCGCTACATGGCAATTAAGAACTTTGTAAGTAAAAATATAACTAAGCTTAGCGGGAATGACATTTATGTGAAATGATCTTTAAATTAGAATATTAGAAAGCCGAGTTGAAATTTTATTACTTTCTTCTATTTTACTCTCAATATCTTAGCAACTAAATGCTCTGAATTTTGTTTATATCAAAATTGCTATTTGAAATTAATACCAAATAAGTTTAGGTAGTGATTGTATGACAGTTTTGTTCCCAAGCGCAGTGAGCCTTGGGTATATTTTTAAAAATTTGATATTAAAATTAGTTATTGAATTTTTGCGCATAATTGAATAAGTTCTTATGTTTCTTTTATATTTCATTTACAAACTTATTTTTTCTTTTACACAATGTTATATGTCAAATACCTTTTGATTCACAATCACAATTTACAAGTCAGTTAAGAATAAAAGCTTTATATTTTTTTCTTTTTTGCAGTTGCTTGTGCCGGTATTTTAGCACTCTTCTTGGATTTGTCAATATTCAATTTAACTGTGTTAAGTTATCACTTAACGTTGGGCGTAATCCGGCATTTTTATGAATATAAAAGGGAGCAAAACCTGAGAAGAAAATTTAAGGATAAGAATGTACAATATGATGAATTCGATATTAAAATTGCCAATCTTAAACGGCCTCAAAGCTGGTTAAAATTAGATAAGGAAAACAAAGATAAATAAATTTACAACTGATTAGAAAATTTCCAATAATGCTTGATTTTAATTGCAACAAGAATTTATTAAAAATTTCAAATTATTAAAAATTTCGCACCCGTAATTCCTAAAATCAATTGAATATTTGTCATTTTCGTTGTCAGCTCGGTAAAATTTATAATTGACATTGTTATATAATTTAAAATTTGAATAAATAGATTGTATTTATTGTATTAAGTTTGAATTTTTATTCTAAATTAAATTTGTGATAAAAAACAATTCCATTTTCAAATAGTTCGGTTCTTGCTATGATTTTAATATTTCTTTATACATGTATAGCTCATATATGGTACACACATAACTAACATTTCTTCAGATTTCATTTATATTTTCCCAGATAATAAACAAGTAAATTCAATTTAAATTTATTAATGTTGTTTCAACATTCAACAAAACCATTATTAATTCAACCTACAATGTTATCTACATAAAAATAATGTTAAAATTGAATGTTTAATTGTTGAAATTGTGTATTTAAAGATAGTTATCCGCAGTATGGCCACTAGCTATTCAGAGAAATTTTAATTCATTTAGCAAATTTTAATAATTTTCAGTATAATTCAATAAAAGAAATAAAATGTGTATGTATTGAAATATGTACGAATATATAAGGAGTTTTGAGCACATTAATTTGTTTCAATGAATGAGTTTATTGACAGAATTCTTTTATTTTTTTTCTTATTTATATTTCAATTAATATTTTTATCTGTTATCAAAAATAAATTTTCATCTGGAAAATTTTATACTTTAATTAAAAAGGAATATTATTGAAAAAGAAAAAAATCTATTTAATTTTTTCCCTTAAGGATTTTGTTGTTCATTTTCAAGATTTGCGTTTGATTTCATGTACATTAAAAGGGTATTTTATATTTTTACGTTAATTAAATGCCATTCAGATTGATTAGACATAAAAATGAAAAAAAGAATTTTTTGTAAAGAACATTTTGTTGAATTAAAAATTAACCTTAATTTGACGCTTTGAAATTTTTATATTTGCTTGGTATGTACAAGAACCGAAAAGAGTTTCAAAAATAGAATGTTGCATTGTGGGTATGTGAAAATGTTACGTTCAAAGGACGAAAATGTATGATAATTTGAATTTCATTTGAATAATTAAAAAAAATTATAGGATCTAAAGCTTTTTCGATTTGAAAACTATAAAGAGGTATTTGACTCAAACTTGGTCTTGTATAAAATCATCGTTTATTGTATGAAATCAATAGTATAGCGATCAATGTAGTGAACTACACGCTTACAAAAGTAAGTATAACGAGAAAAAAAAGAGTACACCTTGTCAACTCTGTGATACCCGTACGAATTTGTTATCCTAAGTGCGAATAAATATGCCATAACTGACTATGGGACAGACTATGACTTTAAGTTGCCGTATTTATTATATTAATTTATGCAAAATTTCAGTATTGCGTTTTTCAAAATACTGTGGGTGTCAAACTACTATTAAAGTTGTATGGCAGCTACCAGAAAGAGCCAAGCTATTTTAACAAATTTTATCAAACACATCGGCGCTACTTATATATTCGTTTGTGCGAAATTTCAATACCACAGCTTTTATAGTTTCTAAAATATAGTCAAATAATTTCGTGCGCTACATACGCACTTTATCAAAGCTGATTTTCTTCTCTCAGAAAAGTGCGTATGTAGCGCACGAAATATATTAGCAAAAAAATAAAAAAAGTATTTTATTCCGAATAAAAGGAAGTTTTCTTCTCATACCAATAAAAAAAAAAAGAATTATACATATTTCGGAAAAATTATCAACCATTGAAAAAAATTTTTTGAATAGTCAAATAACTTTTGAAGTTGTACGACAGCTACCCGAACCAGTACCCTGATCATGTCCAATTTAAATAAAGTTCTGGCACTTAGTTCAATAAATAATTTGTGAAAATTTGGTGAACTTAACTCAATTAGTTTTTGAGTTATCGCTGGGACGGGCGGACGGACAGACAAAGCTAAATCAACATAGAATTCAACGCTGATCAAAAACATATACTTGAGTCTATATCTCGTAGCATTATTTCTTAGAGTTACAAACCGTAAGGCAAATTTAGTATACCCTTCGAACATACGTTCGTACGGGTATAAAAATGAGAATTATAATTCGATAACTTGAATTGGCTACAAATTTATTAGGAATAAAAAACTTGATTGTTTTAAATTCCGAAATCAAATCATATTTTTATTAATAATTTTGAAATTAAACTATATTTTCCGTTTTAAATATAATAAAAATCGAAATATAGGGTTAAGACGTGAAACATTGTTTATGGACTGACTTATGTTGTCAAACACAATTTGATATCAAACCAAATGTACAGACGTTCAAACTTCTATTAAATTTTCACTTAATCAAACAAAGTCCATGAGCAATGTTTGATTTAAGAAATTTACTTTATCTGTAATACTAAAAATTGTGAATAAAAAATATTTACAAAATTTAAATATTTACTAAAATTAAAAATATGTACTTAATAAATTCGAAATTTAAATATTAAATAATCAATGTTAAAATTATAAAACAAATAATTTATTATAATATTTCAAATGAAAATATGAAAGAATTTCGATTATTATCCTGAATTTGAATTGATCATAAATTTATTATAAATAATTTTATCTTTAGTTTTTTATTTCAATAAAAAAAAATCAAAGAATTTACTTTGGAAAGGCAAACAATAATTGTTTATATTCAAAATATTAAAATATAAAATACAAGACAATCTGATAAATAGTCTCAAAGGACTTTTGTATATTTACATATTTAAAGAATAAAAGGACAATAGTATAACAAAAGGCCAATTTATAGTTGAATAGTTTACAATTAATGAAATAATAACAATCACTAAGGACATTTTATTTAATTGTTTAACCATAGATATAAGAGTAAGTATGTATGTATATAAAATTCAAATTTATTTTCATTTTGTTTTCAGATAAATTTTATATTCAAAGTTCATTACAAGTTAAATTTAGTTAGCGATAAAGTTTATTTTTTGAGATTTTTCGAAAAAAAAGAAGAAAATTTTATAACTATCGGCATTAAATTTTATTTTAAAATTTATAATTTTTGTTTCAGTATATTAGATTACATTCAACGCAATGCTTATTTTATTTATAAGAGAAAAATAATAAATATTTTACATCACTTTTAATATACATACATACATACATATTATATAAAATAGATGGGTGATAAAAACATTAAAATTAAAAACGCTTCTAATACTGCTATTCCTATTAAATTCAATTTCCCAATGGAATCAAAATTATCGATAATAAAATCATATTTGAAAATTTGCTTAGGGAAAACTGACATCCATGGTATTAAATATCTTACAAATCATGATGAAGTACCATTTTGGGAAAAGTACGTTAACGAGGATTCCGTTTTTATATCCACATGCACATTATATTGTTGTATTTAAGTATACATTTATATTTATAAGTATATTTAAGTAGGTATTTCAATTTACGTATTTGTAATGTGTGTGTGTATATAAAGGATCAATGAAATTTAAGGAAGATGAACTAAAAAGTTTTTCACTTCAAAGATATTTTTTTTTTGTTAAGAATTGTTTTTTGTTGTGGGATTTGAAATCTTAAAAATCCGGAAAAAATTCACTTTTCGAATACAAGGTGTTTTTTGGCCCGAAAAAATATTAGGAGTTTTTTTATTATAAATTGTAATGGGTTTGTATTGCAAGATATTTGGAGAATTTTGGGAAATATTAAGTTTTTAAAAATTTTGAAAATATTTTAATTAAATGCAGATTTGTTTGACAATAAGGATGAATGAGGAATAAACAGCAGAGCAAATATTCAGGAAAAGGGACTTGAAAAATGTGCAATAAATATTTAAAGAAAAATTTTGTTATATTTGCAAAATTATGATAATACCAAAATGTAGTTGAGCAGTTACTTTGCAAAGCAAATGTGATCGAGCAATATTTTTTTTTGGAAAATTGCAATCATTTAAGAATCGAGTTGTGCTCAACTTTTCAAAATTGACATAGAAACTTGCTTAGTCAACAAGAATAGGTTCTTAAATGAAAATTTATATATTAACACCTTGTATTCTTTAAATAAACAATAAACTACCAAAATAGTATCTTAAATGAAATATGTGCTTGCAAATGTGAGCTTCACATGTTCCATAACATGAATATGAAAATAAATTTTCTTGAATACAACATTATTTTTTTTTTGTTTGTGTTTTTCTATTTTCTTTATTTTCAAGGATTTTCTGGTTCGTAGTACTTATCTTAACTATTTTTACAACAATTTTTATATGTGGAATATTATGCAATATATATAATGGAAGTACAACAAAAACTGTATTAGAAAACTCTATATATCCAGTTCACCAGATTATATTTCCTGCTTTAACAATTTGCAGTAAAAATCGTTTAAATTGGAAACGTTTAGATATTGTAAAAAAACTGTATTTACCATTCAATTATACAAAAGATATGGAAATATTTTTTGAGAATTTTTTAGAAAAATTTGAAAATCTAAAATTTGGTGAATTCAAACATTTTACAAAATTATTTTCTATTTCAACAAATAGTAATACTAATATCATTACTGATAATAATTCGAATTCAATTAAATTCAATTATCCTGAATTAGATAATATTGATTTATTTGAAGTGATTAGAATAATGTCAATACGTTGTGATGAAATGTTTATTAAGGATTCTTGTAAATGGATCAATGAAAATAAGAATTGTTGTGATATATTTGGTATACAAAAAAATAAATTTGGATTTTGTCAAACATTCAATTCAGTTGTTAATGAACATGGTATGAATATGGTAGGTGAATTTTGAAAAATTGCATATTTTCAGCAATTTACTCATTACAACTAGATTATTTTTTAAAAAAGTGCAATATAATTTTGGGATTATTATTTAAAATGTTATCAAAAGGATTTATGCTAATAATCTTACTTTTAAGTGATTTGTCATTTGAGAAATAATTATTCAAAAATTTCAAAATTTCAATTTTAAGAAATTTTCCTAATTGTATACTTAAGTAAATGTTGTCAAAGCAAAAAAAATCAGAATTAAAAACCCGATTAATTCAATCGAAAATCCATTAGAATATGGAATAAATTTAGTTTCATTTATTTTCTATATTTATGATAAATTAAAAAAATTGTAGCCCAATTGTGTTTTTTGGGAAATCCTTTTGATTATTTGCGTACATATTATAATTTTACATACATCTTTATTTTACATATTTTTTCAGGCACTTATTGATTCAAAATATCCTTATCGTTTGGCAAAAGGTGGTGTTTTGAATGGATTGAGTTTTAAAGTGAAAATCAATAGAGATTTTAAAATACCTGGAAGTAAAATTCACGATGGATTTATAGTAATTATACAAGCAATTATTTAATTAATTACACGTTTCTTGCATTTTGTTGACTATTTCTCATTAGATTTAATTAATTAATATGCTTTAAAATTTATTTACTGTGAATATTGAGAATAAATGCGAAGCAACATGTTCTACTGAACTAAAATAAATGCCATAGGTGCACGAAGTTTTCTCAAGACATATTGAAAGAAATATTAAATTAATTATAAGCGTGTTCCATGTATTTTAATGACATTTACAGTAAAATTCACCTTGTACATTACTTGGACCAAATTCGGACTTCATTTATACTTTGTCGACAAAATTATATTACTATAGGTTCTTATTATTGCCGTTATTCTTTATAATAATTTTAATTGACCAAAAATTCATTTTCAAATTTTTAAAGTTTTCGTTCTCCCCAAGTTGATATTTTTTGAAGTTGAATTTCTAGAGAAATTTGAAAATTAATTTTTTTCAAATTTTGTTTTTTTCAAAAACTTTTAAAATCTTTTCCAATATGAAATTTTTCATAATTATTTTTTTCTTTCATTAACACTATTATAAAAGTAATGTTGAAGTTTTGTCCTTCAGAGTTTTTCAAATTAAATTTTTATGTTTAGTAATAATTAAATAAATTTATTAATTAAATATTATTCTACGAATGTATTTATGTTTGTATGTATATTTGAATATAAATTTAAGAAAACTTCTGTGGCAAAGGGCACCATTTTATTGTAATATTTTTAATACTTTTACAATTAATTTTCTTTTCAAATCAAATTTCTTTCTTACTAAATTTTCTATATAAGATAATGTTGCATCATTGCTCCAGTTTTCATGGACGTGATGAATTCATACCAATTGAAGTTGATGCTGATATAAAAATTCAACCAATACTTTTTCAAACGGAAATGGGTGCAAGGAAATTTTCTCCAAAAATTCGTAAATGCTTTTTCAATGTAAGTCATTAAAAAATTGCGAAAATAAAATGACAAATAAAAAACAAAAAACGTTTATGATTTCAGAGAAATTTTTTATTTTCCAAAATTAATAAAAGAGAAAAATGAAATTTTTTTTATTTCATCCCATTTATTGGAAACAAAAGAATAAAAATGAAAAAAGTTTCATTCATAATTTTTTTTTGTATTTTTCCTTACTTTTCTATTTTTGTTATTATTGTTATGGAATTTTTGCATCAAGGACGAAATGAATCATGAAAATTTTCATAGTTTGCCCGGAATCAATTATTCGTTTCACGATTGTTTTGCACAATGTCAACGTTATTATAATAATTATTACTGCAATTGTTGTCTGGATGTTTTTTTTCCATTGGGTAAGGACAATTCGATTTTTGTTTTTATTATTTTCTTTATATTTGTATTCAGTTTGAATGTTGTTTTGACTATTTAAAGTAAATATTTAAAATTTAAATTTTGATTGTCTTGTAATTATGAAAGCATTTAAATCAAAATTTGTATATTTTAGAGAAATCGCTAATGTAAATCTAAATTACGTTAGATATGAAGAAATTAAGGTGATTATCTACCTTGCCGTGGTGTAGTAGCTGATGCGTCCCCAGATGAGGCCTGAAACAAAAAGATAATCAAACCCTTTCCCCGCACCTACCCCTCCTCAGCATCCTATCGCTCCTGATTCCCCCTGGGCCGGGTTAAGGTGTTACGCGACCCGTGCCGATAATCAGCTTGGCTGGGGGCCCAGACAAATAGCCCAGTCGCCACAGAGGATCCGTATACCTGGCGCCCTCCGGATTATTTAGCATTGTATAGGTACGGCGGATCTCTGCCTAGATCGACATCCTTTCTCAGCAACTCGTGGGATCAGAATGGAGAGCGCAAATCAAAAAAACGTGGATGAGTTCGGCACTCATAAAAAGCCGGAAGGAAATTTGGCCAAGCCAGTTTCTGCAAATCGTGTTGAAACATTGCTGAGGGCGAGTTCAATACAAAAACCGCAGGCGAGCACCAAGAATGCTAAAAGTACTGGTACAAAATCTAAAGTGCCAACCAGGACGATTAAGCGAGAGGGTTGGTGCAACAAAACGACAGCGCTCCGCAGAGGAACCACCTCGGGAAGCTAAAAAGCCAAGGCCACCGAACAAACTCTCGAGCGCATCCATTACGAGGCCTTTTAGTGAGATCCTGAAGGACCATCTTGTTGTCGCTGTGGTTGACCAGGCGCAAGAAGATGGCAGGATCTCTGCTGAGAATTGGAGGAAAGTTGAAACCCGACTAATGGCGGGTTTTCCTCAAATCATGAAGAATAATCCAGACCCATATCTGGCAGGCAGGTGGCTGGGGAGTCTGCAGCGCGCCTTGGGGCCGCATCACAGTGGTCGTGTAGCCCCACGGGTCACGCTTCGATTCTTGCGGTCTGGGGGCACGGGGTGGGGTCAATTGATTTGTTTCCCGTGCTCTCATTCGTGAGGAATTTCGGGGAATCGGTCCTCCCGAGGCAAAGTTGACAGGACGCGATCAGGGATGGATCCGTCCATTTCTACACGGATGGATCCAAACTTGGCGGAAAGGTGGGTGGGGGTGTTTACTCCGAGCAATTGGGAGTTGAGCTCTCCTTCCGCCTGCCGGAGCACTGCAGTGGCTTTTAGGCAGAGGTGGTCGCAATTGGGGAGGCTTTGCGCTGGCTTGGTTAGCATGTGGTGTCCGTGGGCAGTGTTAGCATCTTCACGGACAGCCAGACCGTACTAAGGGCGCTGGAGTCGGAGACCTCTACATTTAGAACGGTTCTTGATTGTAGGTCGTCTCTTAACGAGATGGCGAGGCAGTTCGAGTTAAACTTGGTTTGGGTTCCCGGACACAGTGCGATCTAAGGGAATTGCAAGGCTGATGAGCTTGCGAGACATGGAACGACCCTCGGAATTCTACCTGAAAGGGAGAACCTGGGCATGCCTCTAGCCACTCACAAGCTGCTGCTACACAATGCGCAGGTGGAACGTACCAATCTCAGATGGGCGAATGGAACTACGTGCAACGCGGCAAGGAAGTTGTGGCCAAAGCTAGACTTGCGTCGCACGAGGGATCTAACATCTCTCCGACGGGAGGATATTGGCGCGGTGATAAGGGTTTTAACTGGACACTGTCTGATTGGCGATCATACCAGGAGGATGGGCCGCCCGGCAAACGATCTTTGTAGGAGCTGCTGTGACGAGGACGAGGAGGAAACGGTGCCCCACTTGCTATGCTCGTGTCCGGCGTTGGCGAACTCCAGGCGGAGGTTTCTTGGGTCCCACTTTTTTGAGCGGGCCACGGACCCAGCGAATGTAAATGCTAGGGACCTTGGGAAATGCTAGTGAGGGAGAGAGGGGGAATCCGGCGGCATCACAACGGGCCTTAGTGGCCTAGGTGTACCCTTCGGGGGGCCGATAAAATGCCAGTCGATAATTGAAGAAAGGGGCTGTTCACTTAATTTTCGTACGAAACAAGTCGCAGAAGATTAATCCTTCAAAAATATTCAAATTTATTGAAAAGTTAGTTTTCTCCTTTAGTTGAGAAACAAAGATTTGCTTTGGTCGTGGTACATCCCCCCCGATTGATCTAATATAAACTAATTATCAAGTATCCTTTTAATAATTTTCCCATACATGACTTCATTTAAAATATGACTTGAAACGTTTTCACTTGCGACTTAAACTAAATTGATAAATTAATTTTTCCATAATATAATAAAAAAAATTATTTGCGCTATAGAATTGTTCACCGAATGAATCAATTTCTATTATTAATTTAAATAAAATAAAATTATAATTGAAATCTGAAAACGCCATCTCAATTTATATAGAAATTATTTCATATAACAGTTTGCTAATAATTTAAAAACATCGGTTTTTTATTTTCATAATATAATTAAATGAATTATGTATATAACCACGCTATTTTGTCTAGCACTCAGTAAATAAGTATACATGCCAACATACAACAATTGCGTGTGTATTTGTTAATAATATTGAAATGACAATTATATTAATTATGTGGTTCTATTCAAATAAAGCAAATATAATGAATAAATAAATAACTTTTTTAGAACTAAAAATTTTGTATTCGACATTCAAAATATCCTTGTTTAATGCAATTTTTTCCGTGATGTTAATGGTGTAGCTTTTGTTCAAATAAATCAAACTCGTGTTCAATTGAAGTTGTGGAATTTTTTAGTAAAAAATTTTCATATCCGTACGATTGAATGTTCAAAGAGTTCTATAAAGTTACCAATTAGTTTGTAACGTTAAAAAATAAACGTTTGTGATGTAGACATAAATAGTGTCTTAACATACCTAGAAAAACGTAAATTTGGCTCTTAGTAGAGTTTCGCTTTGTGCTACCCGAATTCCCTGAAATGCTCGCCAGTTAGTTTCGGTAACAACCAGAACTCAAATATTAAATTTCAAGAAATTCCATCGATTCGTTCCGTAGATATGATGAAAAATGTAAAATCGGCCCGCAGATCAGTTTTCGAGCCCTGACCTTTCCAAAAAATTTATATGTTCATTGTTTTAATACAAGGAATTCATATATTAAATTTCAATGAAATCGGTTGATTATTTCTCTTTATATACACAAAAATGTATATTTGGCCCGTAGTGAACGTCTAGTGGCCGATGCCTCATTTCTTCCAAAACATAGGAATTTTCGCGGACGGTCGAGCTGATAATCGGTTGAATATTTTCTTCAAAATGTTCAAAAATGTAAAACAGGCCCGCTAAAAAGTGCAGTTCCCGAGGCTTGATATGTACCAAAAGTTGATCAATCCGTGCCATGGTGGAAATAAACTTATATATAAAATTTCATCAAAATCGGTTCAGCGGAACTTGAGATACACGCGTGCACACACAGACCGACAGACCGCGAGGTTGCTAAAAATAGTTTATTTACCCTTCCCTACTATGGAGAAGTACGTCCCCACCGAAAACTCGATATGCAAAATTTGTTGCCATTACATAACCTACCTATTGTTTACACAATACGGTCGGTAATAATAAGTAGGCGTTGAATTCTTATTCGATTATAGGTAAGTCTGTGCGTCCTGCATTTTTCCCCATATCTCTTTACACAATTAATTATATCTATCTTAAATATAACAATTTATTTAAAATTTAAATAGTTCGTACACGCAAAATATTATTTTATTTAATTTAATCAAAAAACCCAAGTCCCCATTTATACATTCATACATCATTACGAATGAATAAATTCTTTTGGTAAAAATAAACCACATTATTAGTTATTGCATGGGATGAGAAACAGAATATTTATGGTTTGTTTAGTCAAAAGGGTTAAGATAAAAATTTGAGATTGAATAAAATTTATAGATTATGAAAAGTCATAATAAAAATAGTTTGTCTGCTCTTTGGGTTTGAAAATATTTTTGTGTGTCATCGTTTAGTAAAATCGTTCTTCATTGTTATATGTACATATGTGTGTGTGTGTGAGGTTATGCAAAATATTGTAGAAAAGAAATGTGTGAATTTTTTTCTTTAAAAAATATAAATATTGTAATGGGGTAGTTGTCGGCGTCACCCAAACCCTTTATGTATGAATCATTTTAACACAACTTTAATATAGATAAAATATGTGAGAAATTCAGTAATTTTCAATATATTTTCCGATTTTGATGGGAATAGTGTGATAAAAGGAACATTGAATCCTTCAAAACAAAAAAGTATTTTGATTTTGTATATTTTTTCAATTTTAATAGAGCGGCAGAAATATTTTGAAATATTAGGATATACTTTAATAAAATTGCCTCTTAATACTATTTGAAGTTTTTGTATCCCTACTTAATTTAGATAAAGTCATTTCCAAATATCAATAATGGCAGTGGAAATTGCATTTTTTATTCAAATTTAAAATTGGTTATGACTGTAATCTCAATATACGAGTTTATATAAAATCAGTTTAGGACACTGTTATGCAAAAGGAAATTGAATCCACAGACCTTACGCTCTTTATATTTTGTGATATTAATGCAAATAATGATAATAGCTAGCAATGGCAGTACGTACTTGTGTCATCAACAAAAATTCAATGCAATGAAAAAATTAATGAATAGTTGTAGGAAATCTTGCGTATATAACGAAACTTTATTAACATTGAATTTTTAAGTTTTGTATTAAAGTTGGTAGAGTGCTAAGGTTATTAAACTGCGATTTGTGTGAGTTCCTCATTTTAAAATTGAAATTTCTATTTAAATTTTATTTCAGACAAATATCGTAAGTGCAGAATATCAGACTTTGCATGCCTAGCCAAGTATTCGGGTAAAAACAAATAATTCTTACTCTTTTTGATTTTTTGAATTTATTAATTATCAAATATTTTTAGCAAAAATTTATTGTTAAAATTATTGTTTCATTTTGAAAAATTTTTTCAGATTACTTAAGTAATACAAAAGCAATTGGTGTAGATCAATTTTTTGAAGGAGAGAAAGGAATTGATTGTATTTGCTATAGGAATTGTAGAGCTATGGAATATGACACAGTTTTCCATCATCACCATTATCTTGGGTATTAAAATTCTAAAATTATTTTATTATTAATAAAAATTCTACTAAAAAAATTTGTTTTTCATCTTTGATCTTTAATAATTTTAGAAATATTACAGAAAAGGATAATGTTTCAATAAATATAAATTTTTATCAATCATCATTTCCAAAATTCAGAACGGATGTAACAATGAATCGATTAACTTTATTAGTTGATGTTGGTGGTATAGCAGGACTGTTACTTGGTTGTTCAATAATCACATTCGTTGAGCTCATTTATTTTACGATATATGGTTTCATTTCTATAATTAGAGGTGTCGTAAAGAAATAAATAAAATAATTTTGTTTTGTGTTGGGGGAAAAGAAGAACAGAAATTGTAAAATGAGAAAAAAATAAGAAAAATATTATAATAAATTTATTTTGAATTTACTGTAAATTATTTTATTAAGCAAAATAGTCCAGTTGTCTATAAATCTGCTACAATGGTTAAAATGTCAAAACAACGAATTTTATAGTTTAGAGAAATATTTTACATCTATTGTTAGGATCAGCTTAAGAAATATGGCTTAAAAAAAAATATAGGGCGATTGTGAATATTTTGAAATGTGCTTTAAATAAACGGAGTAAAAAATTAAATATACCACTAAAAAAAATTTTTACTACATAATTTTTCTTTTATACAAAGTGTACTCATTGTTTTACGGTACAATTACTTAATTAGTAATTATTTTAATTACGAATATTAATAATTATAATTAATTATAAATTAACCAATTGTTGCCATTTAGTACTGCTGGGTTGGCCTCATAAATTCAACAGGATTAAAATTTTTTTTTTTCATAATTTTATTTAGGCTGTTTCCTTTTTAGTTTTAAAATAATGTGATGTAATAGTGTCGGTTAATTACCATTTCACTAATTCAATTTAATTTTCCAGGAAATAAAATGTTTTATATCAAAATAAATAATTGCTTTTCTAATAAATAATAATCTTATATACCTACACATAATATGTACATAAATATGAAAATTAATTCACATTATTTTACACAAATTATTTCACATTTATTATTTAATAACAACTGATAATGGAAAAGGACTGTAACGTGCGGTTGATGAAAAAATTTAATTAATTGATTTTGAAAATTAATTTTTGTTTTATTCGAATTATTGTTAATATTTTATGGAATAAGTTTTTCCTTTTAATTTACAAATTATTATAAATTTATTATTTTATATTAAACTAATTTTCATAATATGAAACGTGTTTACTCTTATTTCCTGTGATTATTCATTAAAACTATTTTTATTAACATGCAAGGTGAGTTAGGAAAGGATTTTTTGTGTTACATTAGTAATACCCACATAGAAAAAAGTATGAAGCATGTCTTCATTTCATTGATATCCGCTGTACAAAACAACTTAACATAAAAAATATTCCACAATACTTAAGCTAACCTCTGGACTTACTCGACATTGAAATTATTCAGGAGGTCTACATCCCCATAAATATAAAAATAATGAGTTCTTTTCTGGTTTATCGAAATTGTTACAAAACACTATGAAGATGTCTTTAAAACACTAATTTCACTAATCACTTTATGCCATCAAAATTCCCTGAAAATTAGATCAGCTAGTTGCGGTAGCAAAAAGTACAAAATATCAAATTTTAAGAAATTCTATCGATTAATTTATTTAATATGATAAAAAATGCACAAGCAACTCAACATTTTGAGTTGGAATTTCGCATTGCAAAACATTGGTTGATTCTTTCTATAAATGCGCAAATATATGAATTCGATGCGTGTTAAAACTTTAGTTGCTGTGGTCTGAATTTCTCGAAAAATTAGTTGATTTGTTTTATTGTCAGATGAAGTTAATGGATAAAATTTCAAGTTATGCTCTTGTATATTACCTTAACTATTATCAAAAATGTAAACCCGGTTCGTGATAAAGGTTCTCAACCGGACATGTCTAAATTTGATCAATCCGTTACATAGCTAATTTAAACTGAGCTATAAATTTACCTTAAAAGCGGCTCAGTCGAAATTTTAATATCCACAAAAAAATTTCGGTTAAAATTTCAACACGAGTACACCCACAGACCGATTACAAGCACGCAACATTACAAGCAGGCGAAAAATAGTTTATTTACATCTCCCCAGCATGAAAAAGTGCTTTCCCGCCGAAAACTCAATATGCGAAATTTTGTATCATTATATAATCTCTTTTAATGTGGAAAGTACAAGGTATCTAAAAAGAAAACAGGGACACACATCGTATATTTTTTGGATAGTCAAGCCTTTGCTAAATACATTATTCTTATATAAGACTGTTGCGTAATCTAAACATTAAGGTAAAATATGATAAATCACCGGTTGATTAAAAAAAGTAGAGTTTAGAGTTGACTAACAGGTTTTTAGGTTGGAAACTACTATAGTTTAAGCAGTTACAGTTAAACATTATTTAAAATTACTGGAAGGTAGGATCTTAAGAAAACCCTATAACGCTGTCATCAAGATCGAAGCAAGTGGTAACGAGCTATCCTTTATGTCAAACTAGATGTCAATCTTTTTTTACCACTTTCACGTTATACTCGTATCATTCTTGCATATTTAAATGCACATTTCGCAGCTTGAATCAGTTTGCCATTGAAGAAGTAAGCACAGGTTAATGTTGTTTCTAAAATTTTACTTGAATTTGTTTTTGTAATAGTATGTTTAACGTTACCACTTGTATGAGCAATTTCAATACTATTTATCCTTGTTCTATTTATTTGTTTCCATTGTCACTTGCAAATACATTTATGTATGTATAGGTGTAGAACTTATATATATATATAAACCTAGATAAGACGTTAATTTACTGGCATTTTAATCGCATGACATTTTTTAATTCAAATTTCTTACAAGTTATTTAAGTTTAATGTTTCTGATAGCAATCGAATCATTAAATTTTTAACAACATTGTTCACTTTGAACTCTTTAGAAATTAAATACGTTTGGTTGTAAAAATGATATTGTTACCAGGTGTTTTTGACAATTAAACTGTTAATAAACAATTGAATTACCGTTTTATGTATTTTTGATATGGTAGTTGTCTGAATTTAGATTTTTTCCCCAATTTGTTGTGATTGAGCATATTTTAAGAAAGTTGAAAAAAAAACATCTTAAATTTTACTTTATCCGTTTTTTCTTTATTTACTTCTCTGAATGTTGAATTTTCAACTCTTACGGTAAGGCTTCCAGTTCGCTTAAATTAAATTTTATAGAAACTGAAATTTCTCTATTTTTATGTTAACAAGGTTCCATTTAAACGTGAAATTAACGAACCTGAGTGATCAAATTCAAAAGGGTAAGCTAAAAAACAATTTTTGAAAAAAAGAAAAACCTGCATTTTTTTTCTTAGTTTTCACAAAGCTTTGAAATTATTTGAAACATAGTTTACTTGTGCTCACAGCTATAATAACTAACCAGTTCCTACAAAACCACCTATACTAACCAGTTTTACAAAACATTTTTGTAGAGGAATGTTAATTTAAATTGAACTTGATGGTTTTGAGACAGTTGTGTTATAATTTTATTGGCCTATACTCTATATTCCGTTGCGATTTCTCAGTCTAAGTAGAAACCAAATTAATGGCTTAATTTTACTTCAAATTATAATTAACATCCACTTATAACCGCTATCAATAAATTCTTTAAGGTGTTATTTATAATAAGAAATAAAATACCATAGGGAAAAGATTTATTTAGCAAGAAAAGGAAATTATATAATAAGAGCTCTGACACCAATTAAATAGATTTACTTAACAAAAATTATGTTTATATTATAAGGGTAAACGATTTTTAAATTACTAGCTACTGCTTTTATATTTACGTTAAAATTTTTGCATTAAATTAACTCATAATTTATCTTTTAATCAGTTATTATGTTCAACTTAATAACGAACGATAAAATTTTGTAAATTTATTTTATGTAATTTAGAGCTCTTGTATATTAATATAGTATATGCAAATAAAATTAATCGTTAAACATTGAATTAATAAAAAAAATATAAGATCTATTTAGAAACATTAACGAGCTGTGAAAGGTTTAAAAGAGTTTTAACAGTGAAAAATAATGGTACAAACTTTTACAACTCATCAAAAGAGCACTAAAATTTCAATAAAAAAAGTTAATCCTCAAACTCAACAACAACAACAGCTTGGTGGAACAAAAAATAATGATAACCCATGGAATTATTGGATTCAGTATTTAAAAGTGTTTTGTCAACGTTCCGCAATACATGGTATCAGTTATTTGGCCGAAGATAACATTCATAAATTTGAAAAGTTAATAAAGATTTTAAATATTTTAAATTTTATAACAAAAATATTTAAATTGAATTTTTTTTTAGGTTATTTTGGACAATTATTTTAATTTTAGCAATCTATGGCTCGGTTCATATATGTTTTATGTTGTCAGCAACATATCAGAAGAGCATGTTAAAAACAGTTCTTTTAAGGTGAGTTTCTTAATTGTTATTGTTAATTGGATCAACAATAGTGGAATTAGGCACTCACTCAGATTTTAGTTCAAAATTATAATTAAGTTACAGTTAATGTAATAGATTCGGTAGCGATCATTCTTATATTGCTTTATTTCATATGTGTGATTATATTATAAAAGTAGACCTACAGAACACCATGTACTAACCACTATGGTTGCTTTTGTATTATTAGAGTCACTTAAAATCATGACACTTTCCAATTATAATTAAAATCAAAAGTTGGTAAAATTTATTTTTGGATAGAAAATTATTTATGAAAATTTTTAATCCAATTATATTTAATTGATTGACATAATAAGGTTAAACACACATACTTACTGCTTCAGTCAATTTATATTGAATTAGTTTAGTTCGGATAATAAATTTACTTTAAAAAATTAATTACTTTTATATTAGTGCATATAAATAAGTGCATTAATGCACATACTATGCATAAATAACTTATTAAAAACCATTGAAATTATTTTTAAATAAAGGGGTATATAAAGTGAATATTGTTGAATAAAGAGTCTAGTGCGTTGTTAGATGGGGTGAATAATTTGAACATATTTATATACGAATACTTACATATAAACAAATTAGAATAATGTAGTAAAGTAATCAATTACTTTTAAAAGAGTGGTAGTAGTAAAATATAAATTACATTATTGCTGACGTTTAAATTTTAGAATATAAGATGAAATTTTCGCTTAAAATGGAAAAATCTGAAAAAAATCTCATTTATTATTTAATCTGGACATATAGAATTCATAGAAAGTTTAATATTTTCCCTAATTGGCCGCTTTTGTTAAATTGCCCAAAATTGTCTTTTGTTCAGAGTTTTCTTTTAAATCACAAAATATTAAATATGTAATTGTAATGTAATTTACGTGTTTTTAAATTTTTAAAGTCTCTTAAAATTTATTAAATAAGATTTGAAATTTTCTTTTTACTTTTAAAATACTTAGAAATTCTTTTATTTTTCATTTAACATTTTATTTCTCATAACATGTTTGTATGAAAAAGTTTGCGAAAAATTTTTATTTTCACAATGATTTTCCATTATCATTGCAATGCAACTATTAAAGAAATGAAACAAAACATGATAAAGTTAAAAATTCTGGGTAAGGGAGAAAATAACAGAAAATATGTTTTAAGCAGAGAGAAGAAAATTTATAGATACGAAAGAAAGTGACAGTTTTGCCTTTTAATTTTTTTTTTCTTCATTATCCCAAATAATTGCTGACCTTCAAGTCCAAAGTTCATTCAAACAATATTCTTTCTAAAGGTTCTTCAATTTTTTTTTTGTTAAAGGTTCAGTGTGTCAGTGTATGTAGGATATAAAAGATTCTTTTAAATTATTCACCGTGAGAGAAGAATAGAAATTTAATTTCACTGAAAAATTATTTAAATGATAGCAAGACTATTCAAGGGAAACTTGTGAAAAAGTTTTTCAATTTTCATTCTTAAAAACAGATGAAGAAAGCAATCGGTTTTTTTACACTTTCAAAAAAATTTTTTTAAAACTTTGAAATCCGTTTAAAGTTGTTGTAAAGTTGAATTTGATGCTATGAGCTTCTAACAGGTTTTGATAGAAAAATTTTTTTAACAGCTCGGTTAGAGGAGAATTGAGTAAAGAAAGAGTTTTTCTCTTTACATAAATATTAGCTCCATTCAATTTGCGTATGCTACTCATTAATTGGTTGTAAGACTCTGTAAGTTGCTTAGATATATCAAGATTAATAATTCGTGAAAAATTTCAAAATTCATCGGAAATTTAAGAAATTTAGAAAAAAAATGAATATTTGGTTTTAACACAAAGGTTCGACTTTGGCCACAATCTTATTTTAATACTGAAAAAGCAAGCGCATAACGGTTTACTTTACAAGTTAGCAAAATAACGTTTTTTTACTTTCCAAATCAATTTTCTCTTTTAGTATGTAAAATTCAATTACTTTTTTACATTCACCTATGAAATTGACTTGAGCACATCCTTAGCAAAAGTTCTAACAACTACAGAAAGCTTTTTTATTTTTATAGTTCATCATTTCCTGTCTATGCAATTCAATATCCAGCTGTCGTTTTATGTAGCAGTAATCGTTTAAATTGGCTAAGAATTGATGAAGCGAAAAAACGTTTTTTACCAACAAATCGATCTATTGAAATGGAAAACTTATTTGAGAAATTTTTTTCCAAATTTGAATCTTTAAAATTTGGTGATTTTAAAAAACTTCAAGATTTAAAAAATGATCCATTACAAATATTAGATGACATTAATATAAATGAAGTTGTAAAATTTTTATCATTAGAATGTGAAGAAATTTTTAATGGACAGTGGTGTTGGTGGAGAAATTCCTATCGTAATTGTTGTGAAATTTTTGGTAAACAAAATGGTCCGGCTGGCTATTGTTTCGCTTTCAATTCTGTTTTGAATGAGCCCGGAATGAAATTACTTGTAAATTTGATTTATTATTTATTTTTCAATAGTTAAAATTAAAATATTTTGTTGGATTTTCTTGAAGAAAGAAATTGGAGTGGGAAAATATCCATATAAATCGTCATCAGCAGGACCTTTTGGTGGATTAAAAGGTTCAGTTTATTTCAATGTAACATACAAAAGACCCGGTAATACAGACCGTAATGGATACCAAGTTAGAAAAATTGATTAGGATTTATAAATACTCAATAACTAGAAATTTCCCATTAACTTTTAGTTGATTATCCAGGATCCTGATCAATGGGCAGGCTCTGCAAGTCCTTTTATACCGTTACAAACTGAAGCATTTTTAAGCTTACAGCCAATTTTATTTCATGCAATGAATGAGACAAGAAAAATCAATCCTGAAGTTCGACAGTGTCTTTTTATGGTAAGAATTTAAGTTTTTTTCTGAATATTTTCTTGTTTTTACTACATTTTAAGGATGAAGAAGGGCAAGAAGATAAAACACTTCCTGGTAAATTAATGAGATACAGTTTTGAAGATTGCTTTGCTGAGTGTCAAAGAAAGCATACTGGAATATTTTGCAACTGTACAATCGAAGTCTTTCATCCTATAGGTAAGAAAATTAATTTTGCTTTTAAATTTTAATACATTTAATTTTAGGCAAGGACTATCCCCCATGCAAAGCGTCAAATTTTCGCTGTTTATATGAAAATGCTCGTAAGTTAATTTTTATTTCCTAAACTGAAAATTGATATGTGTAAGTAAATGAAGAAATGCGATTTTAAATTTCAGATATTTTTAAATTTACGAAAAATATGGAAGAAGATAAATTTGTCAATAACAGCGGAATGGGTATGACTTGCTCTTGTTTAAGGTACTGTTACTCTCTAAGATTAACTTTCGATATGGAATATGATAATTTGTTTGAGTGAGTAATTTTATATGCTTATTGTGCAGAACGTAACAAATTTTTAATTATGCTAATTGATATTTTAGTGAAACTTACAATAACATTGTTACATTTGATGTGTCATATGCTAGCGAAACGATGCCATATTATAAAACGGAACTAGTTATGAATTGGTTAGATTTACTAGTATCTTTTGGTGGTATAGTTGGTTTATTTCTAGGTTGTTCACTTATAACAATGGTTGAAATTTTTTACCATTTCACAATTGGCTTAATTTTGTACTGGAGAAAGAGTAGGAGTGAGGAAAATTTTAATTCTTACAATGAAAATCAATGGGCTAGAAAAAGTAACAAATTTTAATGTTGTTAAGTGTTAAAACGATAAAATGTGACAATAAAAAATAATAAAATCTATCGAAAAAATATTTTTAGAATAAATAAGCTAATTGATTTAAAATTATACTAAATTACTTCTTAGGATGATGCTATTTTAGACATTTTTCTTCCAAATTTTTTGATATAAAAGAAAAAACCCTATTTCATTAAATTTTTTGCATAGATTACCTAAATCCATTCATCAAAAAATTATCGAAAGCTTTATAGACTTGTTGAGACTAGTGAAACTCTTTGCTAATTTTCTAATATCGTTCAAGTATACTAACAAATTTTACCATTTTAGTATTCAATCAACACTTATAAAATTAAATATAAAAGCTTTTAGACAGATTTTATATCAGATATCTCAAGTATAATAAGATATTAATTGCTGTCCAGGTGTTGTATAAAATTTAACGAATTCGTGAATATGGTCGTGCTTTTGTTCTTTATTTTTATTAAAACAAAATCGTTCCCAATATTAAAGAGAGCAGAATAAAACAAACTGGGAAATGAATAAGAGAATAAATATGAAGATTTTAATGGCCCAAATATAAATCATATGTTTTCAAATAAATTCTTTTATAGATATGGCACATACACGCATATGTCTTATTCAACTTGTTCTAGAAATAGTGAAAACAAAATTTTTATCACAATAACAACAACAAAAGAGTTTATTACCGCATACTTTTTAGCTGTTTGAACAATTGTTAGAGGTTAATTAACATTACGTGTCTACATTTATAAGTGAACGTATCTCAGAATATTTGTAAAAATTTTGAAATTATTTTATTCTACATCTTTGAAAGCATTGATTTGAAAAGCAACATGGGATTATTAATTTATAAAGTTATTTTACTAACAATTTGCTTTGTTTGGTTTGCTAAATTCGGTTTAAGTAGCAAGTCAGTTGATGATGCACACTCATCTGTAACTGCTTTAGAAGAAATATTTCAAACGGAAATGCTTTATTTGGAAAATTTTCAAATATTTCTCAATTATTCTCAAAGAATTTTGAATGCCTTAAAAAGGTAAGTCAGAGTTATTTTTATTCCAAGAACATTGGGTACAAATATAATGTGTAAATTTAAGTAAATTACATGAATGGAAAACAAATGGAAGTTCGAATCTTAGAGATAATTTGACCTTAAACAAGAAATTACAATTGCAATATAGGCTAAATAATATATCAAGATCGAATTATACAGGTAAATCCAAATTTACGATATTATTGCATTCTTTTTTAATTTAATTTTTTATTTTATTCATTAATCAAAATTTCAATGACAGATTTTGCAAAAAACATCTCACAATTTAGCGAAGACTACAGATTTCCAATTGAGGTTGATATGGAAGGCGTAGCCAGAGCTATTGGTCGATTACAAGATATCTACAATTTTACAGCTAAAGAAATAGCAACAGGAGAGTTTTTGGATTTTCCAAACGCATCCAATGTGTAAGTTCTAATATAAGATTTGCAAATTCTTTTTGAATGACATCTTTTTAGTTTATGTTTTTATATCCGTGGGATATAAGAAGTTTGCCATTTCCGTAATCAATACTTAAAATAAAGCAAATGAATGCAGACGTATGTATTCAAGTCCTTGATATTTTTAATGAATGTTCAATACCGGGTCTATTGAGCTATGTGTATACTTCTGTCAGTCCGCCAAGATGAACAAAAGTGCAAGACCACATAAGCTACATATATTTTATAAAATTCGATCAGTTCAATATGTTTAATTCGTATACGACTAAAGCAAACCGTTCGATCTATTGTCAAATTTTTTAATGATATTTCGAAAATTATTTTTATTACGATAGTCAGATTTCAAGCCAAGTAGAGCAGAAAATTCACTATGCTTATAAAATTTAGTCAAAGTTATAGCTCTTATTATTAAATTCGTTTATCAAATTTCAGGAAAAAATTAGATTCTACTGATTGCTTTTATATTGGATTTCACTTGTTTACCATTAAAGAATATTTTCAATCCGAAGAATGGTTTAAGTTGGCCTATGATTTGTATGACAGAACTAAAATTGAAGAACGAAAATTTCAATTGAAAAAACTGGTTCATATTTCGAGAATTTTGAGTTTTATGGCGCATACGACCTTTCGATATGGTAATGCAAATTTTTACAATGCAATTGAATAATAAAAAAAAGTTTTTAAGCTGATTTACCGCATACGGAAATTTCCGTTTTGATAATGAAGGAAGCGGTCAGTGAAGATCCAGAGAACCAGGAAGTTAAAAAACTTTTGAGTCAATATGAAAAAGTTTTGAATGCAATTAAGTACAACACAAGTAGAATCGTAAGTAAAGCTATCTTTTAAAATTAAAATATTTTCTTATTTGATTGGAATACATTGACACTTTCAATGAGACGTGTTTATTTAACCATTAAACTGAAACATATTTCACTATTTTAAAGCAAGATTTGTTTATAGAATATTGAAAAAGAGAATGAATATTATAGAACTGCATGCCGTGGGGATGCAATTAAACCTCCAGAACTTCTTAGAAAATTGTATTGCACTTATAAATCTCATGGACATCCATTCCTGAAGCTTGCTCCAATTAAAGTCGAAATTCAATACATAGATCCTCCTTTAGCAGTTTTTCATGATGTTGTGTATGACAGTGAAATAGAGATAATAAAGTCTTTAAGCACTGATTTGTTGTCGCGTGCTACAATTTGGAATTCAGAAGAGTCGAAAGCAATACTCTCTGATCAAAGAACAGGAAAATATGGTTGGTTGACTGAGACAATGCATCCAGTTGTAAAGACTATTAATCAAAGAATCGAAGATATGACAGATATGACGATGAAAACTGCTGAAGTTATGCAAGTAATGAATTACGGAATAGGGGGTCATTATGATGTTCACCCTGATTATTTGGGAGAACCAACTGATGTAAAAATTCATTTCAATTATAACATTTGTTTTAATTAAAATTAGTTTTCAGAATACAACAAAGCCATACTCACTATATTATTGGGGAAATAGAATAGCTACACTTTTATTTTATGTAAGTGTCATATTTTAAATTTGTGTCAATTTTATTCGAAGCTTTATTAACATTGAAGTTATCAGATGTTGAACTTGGGGGAGCTACGGTTTATCCACATCTGAATACTGCTGTTCGGCCAATAAAGGGAACTGCTGCGTTTTGGTTCAATATGTTACCTAGTGGAAATTTTGATTACAAATCAAGACACGCTGCTTGTCCAGTGATTTTCGGCTCGAAATGGAGTAAAATTTTAAAATTCCAAACAAAGGAATTTAAATATTTTAGATTTTAATTTCAGTTGCAAATAAATGGATTCGCTATAGAGGCCAAATATTTCATAGGCAATGTACAATGAACGAACATGATCATTACTCCTTATTTGCTGAAGGTTAATTTTATACACAAATAATTGATGAATAAATTTTTTTTTAATTTTAATTTGTTGTACTTTCATTTTTCTTTTTTTTCTTCTTTTGTTAACCAAAGGTATTGAACATTAAATTATAACACTATTAACCACCTCGTTTTATAAGATTTTGAATAAACTCAACATTCTCATGAAATGCTCATCTGCTCTTTGCTTCAACTTTTAAACAAAACTATTCAAACATAAATATTCTGAAATACTGAACAAAGTTCAAATATGCCATTTTATAAAAGCGATTTTAAACAAAGGAAAAAGGAATAGAAGCAACGCCGAAATAAAATATAAGGAAGCAAAAATGCTGAACTCAAATTTTTATTTGTGAAACATAAATCATATGTTTTTAATTCGGTTACAGTCATCACAAATATCTTACCAAATGTGTTAAGGAAGTAGCAAAAACAATATTTTTGTCGTAATGAAATATGGTTTATTACCGGATTGTTTATTCATGTTTGAACAGTTGTTAGAACTAGATTAATATTACGTGTCTACATTTATTAGACAACGTATCTAAGTGTATTTAAAAAATTTTTAAATTATTTTATAAGAAACACCTTAGGAAGCATTGCTTCTCAAAATATTATGGGATTATTAATTTTTAAAGTAATTTTAATTACAATTTTCATTCAACTTGGCTTAGCTAACGAACCAATTGATGATGCACATTCATCTGTAACAGCTTTAGAGGAAGCATTTCAGACGGAAACACTTTATTTTGAAAATTTACAAATATTTCTTCAACACTCTCAGAGAATTCTGAATTCTTTAAGAAGGTAAGTTTAAGCAAAAATTTTATTCTGAGGGCATTGGATCTGATGTATTTGTAAATTTAAGTAAGTTACATGAATGGAAAATAAATGGAAGTTCGAATCTTAAAGATAATTTGACCTTAAACAAGAAACTACAATTACAATATAGACTAAATAATATATCAAGATCGAATTATGCAGGTTAATCAAAATTAATATTTTATTTTATTGACGGTAAATAAGGAAAATAACAATTATTGCAGATTTTGCAAGAAACATATCAAAATTTAGTGACACATATAGATTTCCAAATGAAGTTGATATGGAAGGTGTAGCTAGAGCTATTAATCGAATACAAGATGTCTACAATTTTACAGCTAAACAAATAGCCACAGGAGAGTTTTTGAATTTTCCTGACATGCCAATTGCGTAAGTTCTTAAATTGAAAATAAAAATTTTCATATTTTTGAATCAAACACAAAATTATTGAAATGATTTTTAAAAAAACGAAAGTGTAATTCGAGTCTTTAATTACAACAAGGATTCGTTCACCTTCTCAGTAGTCGACTCACATAAATTCACAAAATATAATGTTTAATTTTAAGTGCTGAACTAAAAATTCACGGGAAACTGAATTGAATACAAAAACGAAATTAAACATGCTTTAATTTGCATGTACATACATACATACATACATACGGTAATATCATGCCGTTGTTCAACTGAAAATAGTGTAAATTTCAAGTGCTTTTAATTGGTTTTTTTTTACCGAAGAAGTCGGCTTGTGAAATATCAAAACAGTCTCTGTTGGAATCTGAAAAGCTTTCAGAGATCTTGATTTCATTTTGAAATGTTCTCAATTTACGTAATTTAATTTTTCTTTTAAACTGCTTGAATTTTGTTTTTTCTTTTTATTCAACAATTGAAAGAAAAAAACTAGATTCATCTGACTGTTTTTTTATTGGATACCACCTATTTCGTATCCATGGTTATGTAGAAGCTGAGGAATGGTTCAATTTGGCATATGATTTGTATAATAAAACCATAAAGGAAGAATTTCCATTGAGAAAACCAGTTCATGTTTCCAGAATTCTAAGTTATGTGGCGTATTCAACATATATATATGGTATCATGTGTTTTGACAATACAATTGCATATTGTAAGTAAGAAAAACAATTTTTTAGGTGATATACCACATACCGAAAAAGCGGTTTTATTAATAAAAGAAGCAATTGCTGAAGACCCAGAAAATCCAGAACTTTATAAACTTTTAATTCAATATAAAACAGTTTTGGATTCAATCAAATATAACACTAATAAGATTGTGAGTAAATTATTTGTCACATATGTATAAATAATTTCCGTAATTGAAATATAGAAAGATTTATTTATTGACATTATGAATAAGTCAGTTATATTCCATTATGATTTACAAAAATATTGAAAATAGAATTTTATTTTCTTTTGAATAGAATTTTGTGAAAGAAACACAATATTATAGAAAAGCATGTCGTGGAGAAGTGGAAAAACCTTCAAAGCTTTTGCGAAAGCTGTATTGTACCTATAAGTCTCATGGACATCCATTCCTGAAGCTGGCTCCAATTAAAGTTGAAATTCAATACATAGATCCCCCTATAGCAGTTTTTCATGATGTTGTGTATGATAGTGAAATAGAAATAATACAGTCTTTAAGTACAGATTTATTATCGCGTGCTACAATTTGGAGTATTGAAAAATCTAGACCAGTGCATTCTGAGCAAAGAACTGGCAAATACAGTTGGTTGACTGAGACAATGCATCCAGTTGTGAAGACTATTAATCAAAGAATCGAAGATATGACAGATATGTCAATGAAAACAGCTGAGGCACTTCAAGTAATGAATTATGGAATAGGCGGCCATTATGATGTGCATCCTGATTATATGGGTGATCCAAATGATGTAAATATTATCTTAATTATAATATACTTTTCTAATAGTCTTTTTGTTTAGAATACAACTTATTCAAACCCAGAGTGGGGCAATAGAATAGCTACACTTTTATTTTATGTAAGGGTTTTATTTTAAGTTTGAGTCAATTATATTTTAAGCTTTATTTACATTGAAGTTATCAGATGTTGAGCTTGGAGGAGCTACTGTTTATCCGCATCTAAATACAGCAGTTAGACCTGTGAAAGGAACTGCCGCGTTTTGGTTCAATATGTTACCTAGTGGGAGTTTTGATTACAAATCAAGACATGCTGCGTGTCCAGTAATTTTCGGCTCGAAATGGAGTAAAATTTTGAAATTCGCGATAAAGAAATTTAAACATTTTAGATTTTAATTTCAGTTGCAAATAAATGGATTCGATATAGAGGGCAAATATTTCATAGGCAATGTACAACGAACGAACATGATTATTATTCCCTATTTGCTGATATGTAGCTATGTGCGATAACAATAGCACCATAGAATAGGAAGAGTAAAATGTGTATAATCATTTGTTCCGTACAAAAAAAAATAATATCTGCAATATGAAGTGCTGACTTCCAATAAAACTTTTAGTCGTTTTCCAATAAAAAAAATGTTTTGATTTTATTGTTTCTACTCGATACTTTTACCTTTACTAACTTACTTTTGCTTTTACTTTTACTTTTTTTTTAACAATTTTTTATAATATCTTAAATTCTGATGAATTGATGGTTGGTATTTTTGATATTTAATGGCGTCAAATTCATTTGAGTTTTAAACAGAAACGCACTTCTCCGTGGTGGGGAAGTGTATTTACAAACGGTTTTTACTGATATGTCAGTCTGCCGATTCGTTAATCTGTCGCCTTGCACGTTGAACGGTCTGTACGCTCGTGTTTAGAAAAATCGAATTTAAGAGTGAACCTCTACCAAGAACCAAATTTTCGTTTTGGGGTACAGTTCGAAGGTTAATAGCTTTCTTTGTTTGAAACATTAGACCATTGCGGTCGGTTGTGCTGGCCATATTTAATTTTTTTTTTTCGATGAATTCCTTGTCCTCCTTATTGCAACAACCACATTTTGCGCATTTAGTTGTTGTCGTATTCAATACAAAAAAAATTGTAAATCAATAGAAAATTTCATTTATAACAATTTTTTTCTATTTTCTTTGTTACGTTTCAATCTTAACAATATTTTCCAATTTATTTAACATAATATTGTGATATAAATCGATCGCTTAACAATGTAGTTTTTATTTTTCCCACTATTTTTTCACATGCCTGCGGTTATCTTCTTATAAGATCAGTATTGTGTCACTCACAGGACAATTAAAAACGTTTGCGATATGATTTTTATTATTCTTGTGTACGATTCTATTCACCCGTAACTAAATACCACAATCGTTACCACGTTATAATAAAATATTATCATTGATTTCTAATTCTAAATAAATACACATGTACTTAATAAGTGTTATGATAAACAGTATAATAAATATTTTATTGCTATTAGCCCTGTGCATTTATATTTTATGACATTTCATATATTGTCTTGTGTGTTTAACAACCTTCAATAGGGTTAATTACTATTATCTGAATTTAAAAACTTATTTGCGAAATATTTGATTCAATTTGTAATTCATATTATATGAAGGTTACCAAGTGTTAAATTTATTGTATTAGCCTTTTATAGTTGCTTTTAGTTGATGTGTTGGTCTACATTGAATTAAATTACATTTAAATTACATTAAATTACATTAAAATTTCAATCGGACTCTCAAAGTTGAATTTCAAAATCTTGCAGAATTAGAAATGATTTACTCAACAGATTTTAATTATTTAAAAAGATATAATGATAATTTTTCACAAAAAAGTAAAACCGAAGCAAAATTGAATGGTACAAAACCACTTTGGGAAATATATTGCGAAAGATCGACCATAGCAGAAACTCATAATTTGGTAAACCGGAACTCATATCCTCTTGAAAGGTAATAACATTTTTGAATCTTTATCTTTAATTTATTTCAAGTTTTGTTAATTCAATTTCAAAATTGCTGATTGATTGATCATTATTGAAGATTTACAAATTTTTATTACTATTTGAGTGCTTATAAAACAACAATCTATTTTATAAGACAGAATAATTCCTTTTCTTCTAACTTCACTTACAGATTTATATGGCTGGTCATCTTTATTATTTCAATTACCTATACCGGTAGTGCGTGTGTAACATTTTTTAAAATGTTTTCAAATAATTTAATTGAAACTGTTCTTGAAGATGTACAATTTCCAGTTTATAGAATTCGCTTTCCCGCTATTACACTATGCAATACCAATCGTATAAATTGGAACCGAATTGAAGAGGCAAAAGCAAAATTTTTACCGCAAAATCGTTCGCAGAATACTGAAAATCTATTTGAGAATTTTATGGCAATGTTTGAAAATTATCGCTTTGGGTTTTTTGCAAATTTTTCAACTAAATTTGAAAATGAATCTTTAACTGAGCTAGACCAAATTAATTTAAATGAAGTACTAGAGTTTTTGATGTTTAGATGCGAAGAGATGTTTTCAACGAATAGCTGTCTTTGGAGAAATAAAGAATTCAATTGTTGTGATGAATTTGATTTGCAAAAAACAGTTTACGGGCATTGTTTTACATTTAATTCCGAAATAACGACAAACGGTAGAGCAAAATTTGTGAGAAAAATGATAAAGAAGTTAAATTTTTTTTAAATATGAATAAATATTTTTTCTGATACCAGAATGATATAAGCTACCCAAGAAGATCACCGGGCGGAGGCCCCGGCAGTGGTTTAAGAGTACAAGTAAATTTACATCCAGATAAAAAAAGACCAGGGAATACTCAGGCAAACGGATTACAGGTTAAAAATTTTAATTTTGTATAGTTTGAATTATTAATTTTGAATTCTCATTAGATAATATGTCATAAGTCAACAATATGGCCTACTGGTCAAGGAGTTTCATTCTCCAGTACTGCAATAGCACGTACAGAAACAGTTGTAGTATTACAACCCGAAATTTATGTAGCCGACAAAAAAATATCAAAATTACACTTAGATCAGAGAGGATGTTTATTTGAGGTAGGCGATTCAAATCAACAATCAGAGTATATACAGTAATTTATTTGTTTCGTACTTGCATAGGATGAAAAAGAAGACAACATTTACGAATATTTACCAGGTCAACAATACAGTTTCGGAAATTGTTTGTTTCAATGCAAATTGCGATATGCACAAGAAAAATGTGGGTGCATTCCGGATATGTCATTTCCAGCTGGTAAATTTCTTAATTTTACTACTTTTTTATGTTGTAATATTTTATTACATATAGGTAACAAAACTAAACGCCCGTGTCGAGCATCCGATTTTAAATGTCTAGGAGAAAATGATAGTAATTTTTGTTTGAAGTGTTTTGAAATGGTGTCTTATTATATAAGATCTCTTATATGTGTGATTGTAGGTATTTTTAAGCAGTTTGCCTTGAAAGGTTTTCAAGCTGATGTTCCGGATACAGCATTTATGTATTGCCGTTGTGCATTTACTTGCACAAAAACTGATTATCATGGGAAACGACAATACTACTTGTAAATATTTCAAACTTATGCACAATTTAAATTAGACTTCTTATTATAGAGTTTTTTCTTTTAGTTCTGAAATTGATAAAAATTTTATTAACGCAGAAATATTCTTTGGAGAAAAAATTATGATAATGTATTTGATGACGATGCCATTTGATTGGAGTAATCTACTGGGTAAAAATTTGCAAAATATTATATTCTAATATAAGAGAGTATTATAATAAGAAGAATGTCAACTTCTATTTGGATGTATGTCCAAAAAAAACTACAATAAGAGCTTGTAATTAATATTTTACCGTGATATTAATTGTCCTGTTCTGCACATTTGGATAACTAAGCAAACCGCTTCTTTTAGCTTAGTCGTTTGGGTTGCTTATGACTTGTTCAAAAGCGTTTTACAATTTTATTTAAGACAGCAATTTTTCAAAAGATTTTGCTATCCAGTTACAAAATTTTTCTCTTTTGTCATTTTAGTTTCATTCGGTGGTATAGCTGGTCTTTTTATTGGATGTTCAGTAATCAGCTTAGTTGAACTTTTTTATCACTTTTATATCGGATTAAAGAATTGCAGAAAAACAAGACAGATTCAAATAAAAACTTGATATTCGACGTCAAACTTTCTTGCCAAAATCTCAAAAATAATTTTAATTTGTTTTGCATTTCATGAAGAGCAGGAATATGTACTTATTTTTAAAATCATAAGACTATAGGTTGGGACGCTGATAAAAAGTGACAATCAATAATGTCACTTAATTGCACGTACACTTAAGTTGCACCCGTATCAATTGCTGGATGGAGGCCTATTTAAGAGTTGCATAACTCAAGACTCAATTTTAACCGGAGCAAAAAAGAACTTAAAGTTCTTCAAAAACAAAAAGTCTGCACGCTTGCGTTTAAATAAAAATTGAACTGAAATCTTTAGGAATTATTAAGCGAAACTTAATTAAACTTTATTAGTGATAAACCAGTATCGTCTGGTCATCACTTTTTTTATTTTACAATTTAAAAGAAATGCTTATTAAATAAAAATACCAAAAATACAAAAATACCTAAAATTGATGTCAAAAGCAATAAAAAGGTGATTTTAATCCTTTTCAATCTTTTCCATTTGAATAATTTTATTATTTTCTCTTACTGAAAACAAAATGAGTAATTATTATCCTCGAAATTAAACAAAAAACAGAAGAAATTAATCGTTTAATTTAAAAACATCCTGTGGGTTTTTATCTGACACATAAACTAACACAATTGAGTCACAACGTTAAACCGCTTAATGATGAAAATGTAGAGCTAATAAAATGAAGTGAGAGAGACATTAATCCTTATTGTATTATTTGCATATAGACTTTTTTTTTAAATATATTTAAAGTGAATGAAAGAATCTCAATAATGAATATTAATTGCGATATGTGAAATTTTAACAAAAGGATTTTTTTTATATAAAAAAATTAATCCTTTAAGGTATAAAACTTAATTTCCGCATTTATAAAATCTGATTCTATAGGCATTCTTGCATGTATACACGTAGTTATAAGAAAAGTGTATGCGAAGCCAATAATGTTTTTTTTTTATTTAAAAAGAAACGGGTTTGTTTTAAAGAAATTTCCTATTTAGACATAACTTATGTAAGACTTAACGTACTGATGCAAGATGTGAAAATACTGTGTAGATTCAATGAATCGATGAACCTTTGGAGAAAATTGATAACAGGAGTAGGATTTTTTTATTCATCTGCCAAAAGAATTTATAAATCTTAATATATTTTAATATTTCTGAGGTTAAACTCCGTTCAGGAAAAGGCAAAAAATAATGACAAACTGTTGTGTGGAATTCAAATCCAGAGAAAAGTTTTCATGGAGATCAAATTTACATTACGGCAGTTGTATTATAGCTGAGGGTAAACGTACTCTCTTAAAATTTTATTATATGTTTAGAACTACCACTCATTTGTAAGTCCATTTTTGTAAAGCTGGGAAAGATTTATTATAGATCCTTTAGATATTACCGAAAAATATATATAGTGACCTAACAGGCAAGAAATTTTTATTTTTCTATGATAAAAGTAATGCTGATATGAACATTAAAAAGGGCAATTAATTTATTTAAAATTTTTACTTTTTATGGAACCAAACTGAGAAATACAAACCGATTTTGCAAAATTTTGAAGTAAATTAAAATTAAAAATGTTAAACCATTTTACATGTAGTTTCCGTTTAAATATGTCATTGATTGAAAAATTAATATGGAACTTTTCCAATATATAAACTTGTTTTAACTTGTTTATGTCTAAATTTTAGAAAATAGTCCTTATGATTTATATTACACATTGTTTCATTGGGCTTTCTATTTTAGAATAAAGCTACAATCTGTCTAACATTCATTTGGGAAAATTTAATGACTTATCATTACGTAATTTAATGATCAATTTGCAGCAATTTGAAATTTCTGATTAATACATAAGGATATCCAAAGAAATCCAAGAGCCTTTTAGAAAACAAGTTTTTATGCTATTATATTCACAAGTATACAACCAATATTATTATATAATAGTTGAAGGGCCTACTATTTATTGGAATCCTGAAGAGGATTTCCATTAACCGATATTTCTCATTTCAATTCTCTTAGCTTAATTAATTTTTACCATTTTAATTGAATTGAGTGTTAAAAAAAATTGGGTATCAGATCAGAAATTATTATCGGATTCAATTAAAATCTGCAGATAAAGTCCTTTTTATTAAGTAATCAATTTCTGTCAATATTTTATACCGTTTTGTTTTTTTATATTTTCTCAATAAAATGTCAACATCTTTGAAGATTTTTTTTCATTACACATTATTTTTAATTAACTATCAAAATATTGTGATAAAATTAATCCAAAATTTTAACATGTTCTGCATAATTCAACTACATTTCTTTACGAATATATTTCTAAATGTGTGTTGAGGTTACCAGACTGTTAAAATTTGTTGTGTATACAAGATGAATGATTGTAATTCAGTTACATATATATACATATTGAATGTGCTTTGTTGGTTTGAATAGTTTTGAATAGTTTTGTGAAATTCTATTTTAACTGCAAATAGATATTTTAATAATATATTCAAAAATAATTTCAGAAAAAAAACAAATGTATTTGTTGTAATATAAAAAAAAGAAAATATTGCATTTTGAAAGCCCGAGTTGCACAAGCAGCTGTTTGGCTTATTATTTTTCTATAAATAAAAAAAAAATTTGGGTTTTCATTTTTCTTCTTCCCTTATTTAAGATTTTAAATAAATTTCTAATAAATTTTTTAAATTTTGTTGTTTTGTGTTTTTTCTTTTTTTTTTGTTGAATTTTCTAAGTTATCGTAAAGATCCAGCTTTAAATTTTTAAATTATAAATATTAACAAAGTTAAAAATTATTGTACAAAATTAATAAACAAATTTAATAAACAAAGTTTCAACATATTAGTTTCTGTATAAAATGTATTTTTTAATTTCTTTCTTAAAAATCCCTATGTTTACTATATCCTTTAATTCCCTTGGCAATTGATTATAGATTCTTAAACAATTATATAAACAATTATTGTTTTGATGGTTTTTTTTAAAAGGCTTAAGTAAAAGTTCGACTTGTTCCTAGTGTTGTGGTGATGAATATCTATATTTCTGCTTAGGATAAAATTATGTTTAATATAGCCATTAATAATTTTAAAGCCGTTTAATACAACTCATAAGCACATATATTTGAAAAACTTATGTACCGCCCACCATACAACATAGAAGTCGCATGCCTGGATGAAAAATAATGTATAAGTTTAATGAATTTTTTGTGTATAACATCTATTCTATTTAGATTCACCAGAGGAGTCCTGCTCCAAATTGGATTAAGATAATTTATGTTGGATAGTATAAAAGAATTATAAATTACATATAAACTACTACTGTTAAGATATTTTCTCATTCGCCCTAGTATGAAGACATGCCAAGCCCACTTCAGTTTACTGTCAATTATTAATCCTAGGTAATTAAATTCCTTTACCGTTTCGAGAACCTGACCATTAAAGTAAAAATTCTGATGTGTAAACCTCTTATTTTCAAATAATAGGACCTTCGTTTTTTTTATATTTAATAAGAGATAATGTCTTATCAACCAGTTTCTAAACACTTCCAAATCCGCGTTAATATGATCAACCAATTCTTTTTCACTTCTGAACGTTATTATTTCTATAATTTAATAATTTTGAAAAACGATGGTAACACAAGAATATTCAAAGTAATTTTGTATTTTACTTTGTCGTAAACAGAAATTTGTTTCACCCTTGAGGATAAACTAATTGTTTCTTATGTTTAATGTCATATTATACGTGTTAGTATAGTAAAATAAAAAGAAAAAATATTTTAATGTCCTTAAAGAAAAAAATAAATAAAATAAATGAAAGTCAGAAATCTCACAAAAGTTTTTCCTGAAAGAAAAATCTTGTAAAATTTCATCATTTATTTCATTCTACAAATAACTTAAACCAATCCGGAAAGTTATGATAAATTTTAATTTTCATTTATGATAAAGTGAAAAGGTATACAATACCTGCTCTTTTCAGAGCAATGCCTTGTTTCCAAATTGTGGGTGATTATTCTTTGCAGTATTCAAGCAAAACGTAAATTATGAACAAAAATTTAGAAAACTATTTGTTTTTTATGTGAAAAAGTGAAAAGGTATACAATACCTGCTCTTTTCAGAGCAATGCCTTGTTTCCAAATTGTGGGTGATTATTCTTTGCAGTATTCAAGCAAAACGTAAATTATGAACAAAAATTTAGAAAACTATTTGTTTTTTATGTTCGTTTCAAAAATTCATGTTTCTTGTTTACTTAGATACCTAGATCAAAAATTATGACATAAAGTTGAAATATGTGAAAAGATTTAAAAAAAAAAATGATTAAATTCACATTGAACATAAATAAGTTTCTTTTGGGATGTGAAATTCAGAAAAAACTAAAGTGATTTTAAGACTACATTCTATAATTCTAA